AGGACAAGGAAAGATGGCCCTTGTGCCACCCCCCCCTTTTGACTCCTCACATCTCATCAAATTTTGCTCTCTTGTCTCTTTGCAGAGCATCAACAGCTACATGACCGAATGGAAGGTCATCAATAACAAGTACAACAGCTATGGGGGACAGTTCCAAGATGTCCCCGGGTAAGGCCGCCTTCAAATTGGAACAAGGCTGTGGCAGGCAAAAGCATGCGTGCCTACGGAGATTGCCAGCTAGTGGCTGAGTCCGTTTCCTTCAAATACATATATTAACCAGCCACGTATTAAACTTGGATCCAGCTTAATTCTCTAAATCTGGATTCTCTGGAATCTGGACTGAGGAAGGTAGAGCCCAGCTTCTGTTTTTGCTCACCGTTTAGTTGAAAGGATGCACCTTTGGTTTTCCTCACGGAAGGTTAAATTTTGGACAAGTCCCAGAATGTTCTTCCCTGAGAGGCATATAACTCTCACAAGGATTTTAAGATGCAGTATTGATGGCTCTTAAAAGAGATTTAAGTGAAACAAATCCTGATAGATATCAACCCTATCCCCTTTAGGGGTTTCTCTAGGCACCCTGCTGAATCCAACAGAATTTTAAACAGAAAAGTGTGGAGCCTGTCAAATCTGACAGAATCCAACCGTTAGAAGAAAAAGCCCCTTGTTTTGCCACTGGCATCAACGCAATCCCACAGAGAGAGCCCACTGTTGGATATTGTGGGGTTCAGCATGGTCAGAGTTAAGACGGATCAGAATCAAAGAGTTGCGTGTCATGTGTCTCTTGATCTGCCAGCTACCAGAAGGAACTCCCTCCCCATATGCTACGGGAGCAAGTCTATGAAGTGGATGATGTTGAGGAGAACCAAGAAGCCACCATGAACTCGCCCTCTGGCAACATACACATGCAGGGTTTCCTCTACAAGACGCCCTTTGGGCAGCAGGCGGGGCTGATAAGGGTAAGACCTCTGACTTCATTAATATTCATGTCTTTTCATGCATATTTATGACATGGTATCTGATAACAGCATACTGTTTTGGCCAGTTGGGAAAAACATGAACAGTTTTCCTTCTGTGGTTTTGGCATGTAATTTTCTTTGTGATAAGGAAATATGCATTATCATTATGCAGTGTTCATGAATATGTATACATCATTAGCAGGTATTCAGTGTTACGTTGTAATGAAGTCACTGCTACATGTACGAAGGGTTTCTTTGAGGGTATTTGTTTCAAAGGTGGGATTTGCCAGACAGGTTATATTACTGGTGAGCAACCACAGTCTTCCCCCCCCCCAACTGTTCCCGTCAATGTTCTTTTTATGGCTTCCTGCCGTCAATTTGCCGTGGTGTCTCGCTTTTCCCCCTTCTTTTCCGTTCTGTCAAACTCATCTCTGTCAAGATAATATCACCCTAACGAGCACTTCCTTGAAACATCTTGAGTCCATCATGTTTAACGAGGCTGAATGATATGAACCGCTACAGCTTAATACTTTGTATTGGGGAACCCGACATCGGGTACCTTATGTTTGTACGCATGGCTGGGGAGCCCGAAATGGGACAGAGGAGCCGGGTCTTGTGACAAAAGACCGCACTCTGAACAAAAGGCTGAGCTGCTGGGACTTGAGGAACAGTTTTCAGTTGTCAACGGCGGAGGTAACCCGTCCTTTTTTTGAAATACCATACCACTATTTGTGGCATTCAATACGAGGATTACCACCATGGATGAAAGCTCGCCAGTGCTGCGGTGCTGAGCAACACAATACCGCTGCATGCTAGTCTGGCCCCATTGAAAATGATGCCAGCAGGAAATGCTCTAGTTTTGAGAACAAAAGAAAATTATGCAACATCACACAATCTTGGGCTCTCTTTACAAGGCAGCAGGCCTGGCTGAAATACACAGGCGTCAATAGATGTTGCCAGTCCATTAGAGTAGTCACCAGGCAGTCATTCGTGTGGGTGTAAACATCTAGTACATGTACATGAAGTAATGAATTTTTGAAGAATTTTGAAAACGTGTGCACGGCCATTTTAATTGAACCCAGCGCGAAGTGGTTAACATGGAGTGCGTTTGCCATATGCCAGACCATAACCTGACAGTTTAAATTCAGCTCCTCCATTTCAAATTTAAATTTTAAGTCAGTTAATCAGTAATTAAAAATAAATTGTAGATAAACATTTTAGTATTCCTTAACCCCTTCACACTGGGATTCTTTTAACCTTGACTGCTGGGCTGTGGTATGCCCAGTATGCAAAGCTCTGTCCAGCAGCAGGCCCCCATTGAACCAGCAGCTGCATGGTGAATAGACTGTATGTGTGGTATGCACTAATCTTTGCACAAAGCTGTGGCTGTGGATGGCTCCCAGTATGAAGGGGTTAAGAACAAAATTCCCAGTTTTGTACTTCGGAGAAACAGTTTCAGGTGATATACCCACCCATCATTTGAATTGGCATCATGAGTGAGGAATTACATGTAGTTTATTCATCATGATTGACGTCCGAGTCTATTTAGCCCCCAAAATGTGACTTGAGTTTGCTTCGTGCTTCCTCTGTAAGCAGCAACCACAACTCTGACTATTCAGAAGGAACACCAGCTTTTAACCCGCCTAATGTAGAACTTCAAAGGCTTCGTATGTACAAGTACCCGTGTAAAATGTGTACATGTTGAATCCCCCATTTGTTTGTACATGCACCAAGCGTTGAACTTAAAACTAGCCTTGAAGTGTAACCAAAGAATGAGATTGTGGCAGAAAAATTGTTGAGTATTGTTCAAAGGACTCAAGAGTCTGTGCTTGTGGCATTTGGTTGCATTTCAAAAGTGGATCGACACATCTTGACTTCTTCGAAAGTCCACAAAAGTCCAAATTCAGTGAATGGGTGCAAACTGATGCTCAAATGCCAAAATTGAAGACAAGCCAGGATCCCTCCCCCCCCCACTGTGTAAAGCTCGGAAAAGTTTTCAAACCACATCACATCCAGAGCACCTGCTAGCTTACTGTTGCGCTACCTGATTTCAGAAATGTCAGGGGTGACTATGACCTGACGCAGTGGAGTCAAGGGGGAAGTACCCGCCGGACATGTTCGGATTACTTCAAACTGTCAGGTCTTATCTAGATTCAATCAGGATGTCTGATATTGACTTCCTTATTGTGAGCTAGAAATGATGAAAAGAAATGATGTTAGTGTTTTGAGCCAAGTTCAAATATTTTCTCAAACTGAGAAGTTCTTGAACGTGTGCATACAGTATCAATTTTTGTTCAAATTGTACATTTTACGGAATCTCCTAAAATGCAAACAAGGGAGATGTTTAGTATTCACTTATGTATTCAAATGATTTTCGAAAACACTTTTTTAAGCCTTATGTGATGTGATCCATTTGCTTTTAACAAGAAAGTTTCCTTATGATTGGCTGCAGTATTGTCATAGCTTTTCTCCCTGAATTTCCCAAATTTCAACTAAATCCCGTACACCAACAATAAATATTTGTGGGCAACATAAAAACAATCATTAAAAAGTCTCCCTTTAAGCTCCAACTGAGGGTGAATTTATGCCCTTAGGTGTTTAATGGGTTGCTTGTGATGTCCGGCAGGTCTAATGTCAAAGTCTCCCCCCCTCCCTAAAAAAACGTGAAGCTTTTATACCCCATGGCATCATGTGTATCCCCCTGAAAATCTGAGGAATTCCTTAGATTCCTACATCACAAAGGAAGACATAAAAGGAAGGTCCCTCTTTGCCGCATATTGTGCATCAAATGTTGCTGGAACTGATGTGTGAATCCAGTTATATTGGCAGTGAAGCATTTTGCCTGGGGGAAAAAAGACATTATAGTTCTCTGGGCATCACTATTGTCAGCGAGCAAGCTATACAAAAGAGTCCAGTGGGACGCTTGCATGGGGGGGGTTGCCCTGATCCTAGCAGAAGGATTAGGTGAATGGCTCTAACACCTGAGCATTTCAAATTTGCAACAGAACAAACCACCGGCATCTGTTGGCTCTTTGGGGGTTGGACAAGGGTGTGGCCTGTTGTTTTCAAACCAGGTTGTCTTTGCCTGGTGGGGCCATGCCTGACTGAACAAGCTAGGGTGAAAGGACTGATTTAAATCTTGTGTCACGAGTATTGCAGTGTTGTACAGTAGGCATACATGTAGCTTCCTAGACAGGTAACTTGTATATTCTGTCACACAGTAAGAGTTGTGGTGTGACTTTATCTTTCAGTTTGGCTTCGGAGGGAATTTCAAGCCACCTTTGGGCACTTTAAAGCCCAATCAGATGTTGTCGCCATTTTGTGACTTTGGCGTGTTGTAAAGTTGTAAAGACGTTGTAAAGAGGTGGTGTATATGTTTAGTACAATCTGGAATCTTAGGCAGATTTCTTGTACTCGATCCTATGCGCTTGAATAATATCCATTCATAGGATAAATTAACCTAGGAGGGAGTGTAATAAATATGCACAAGGTTCAAGATTGTGCTTAACGTATGAGAGTTCGGACCCGCACATGTAGCAGGGGTGGAAATACCATTGTAAATGGATGGAGCTTCAGTTCACCACGACCTCTTTAATCGTGGAATGCCTTATTCCCTTCCTTGCAGGCCTACAAGAGGAGGTATTTCTACCTGCGTCAGCTCGCAGACAAGTCTTTCCTTATTGAGTATCACAAAGATGAGAAGAGCCATGCTGCCAAGGGTAACTTGCCCCTGGATTCTCTTGTTGATGTTATTAAGGTAGGTACAGGTAGTTAGATAACTGCAGTGCAGTCCGAGGCTTACCTAGTTTGGACTTTTGTGCGCACTTATCTTCAAAATGGCCAACATCTGTTGTGAACCCTCATTGTAAGGAAGTTACAGGGTCCAGACAGATTACTTTTTTGTAACCAAGACTGTTGTAAAAGGAGTGGAAAAGACTTTGAAAACACAAGAATAAGCCTGTTCCATGCTCCATGTGTGCATGCTCAGAAGATTTGATTAATAGAGGGGAACAACTTCACGAGGAGAACGTTGTGTAACGTTTGGCAAATAGCTGCTCGCAGTTGTTGTTGTTGTAGACAGTTTGTTCCCTCTAGCTTTGTTCACTTAATCGCGCGGGGGCACTGTAATCAACGTAGGGTTGGAGCAGGAAATTGGCTTCAAGAAATTAGGATTCTCAGTAATTGCTCTGTTGAACCTTATTTTGTTACAACAATTTTCAAAAGAATTCCAGACATTGTCATCACTCATGAAGACCCAAATTTTTTTTGGCTTCATTCTACAGACGTTTACATTCTTTTTAAAAACATTTTTCAGACGACCAAGCAGCGCAAATTCGGCATGGAGCTCCTTATGCAGGACCGATCCGTCCAGAGCATTGCCGCCGAGAACCAGCAGCAGATGGACGAGTGGTACAGCGCCCTCAAGAAGGTCCTGGAGCTGCAGAAGCAGGACGCCAACGTGGACAAGCAGAGCGTGTCCTCCATGGAGGACCTGCTGGACCAAGGTGTGTGTGCGTGCTGTCGTCTGGCATTGTGCAGGCCAACTTGGATCGGTGACCGTTTGACAGCCACTGGCTGATTTTGCCTGGTAGCCTGGATATGTCACGCATAGGTTACAGTTGACCAGGCAGAATCAACTAGTTGTTGACCTGTGTGGGGCAACTCAGCCAGCCATTTTGTCAACCATTGGTTGATTTTTGCCTGGTACCCAGGATGTATACCCTGCAAAGGACACCGGGCAAAATCATCCAGTGGTTGACTTGTGGTCACTAGTTGAACTACATTTGAAGAAGACTGCTAGATCAAAATTACCTTACGGACAAAATGACAGGAATACATCCCAAATAACTTTATATTTGTATTGGTCCAAATCACGTGTTCTCATTATATATTTCTTATTTTTCAGTATTGTTTTTGTGTTGAAGTGCGGTAAAAGCTGTGGCCATTAAAATACATTTGATGTAGTGTGCCTCACCTGTTACGCCTAATACTGTCATTTAGTGATGCGTGATTGCTCATTCCAGATTGTCCAAATCTCTTCAATTTCTTTGTCACAGAGGAGTATGCTGACAGTGGGGACTCATCCCTGGACAAAGCCAACTCCAAGAAGAAGGAGAAGAACAAACACCCGGAGCTGCAGGGCTACGGCAAGGAGACGGAGAAGTCCAACTCCCAGAAACGCAAGGAGAACCGCAACAACGTTTTCCTGCTCTACCCAAGGATGCAGGTGAGGTCCCACCTTAGGCCTGGAGTCGACCTCAGTTTCTCTCGGTGGTTGAGGCTTGGAGTAACTCGCGTGTCCAGGGGAACGCGGCTGCAGCTGGCTAGCCCGTGGCTTCTGTAGATAGTTTGCATGGCTGACATCTTGGGGGTTAGTGCTTTTGTTTTGCAGGGCATGCACAGTGGGAGTTTTCCTGTGGAACAAAAGAGCTGCCCTTTAAGATGGATACCATGCAGAGTCTCTGTAGGTGCTGGTGTTATCCCTGGTGTTATGCGTCTGCAACAATTGGACGCATCCTCAGGGAATCTGAGAATGGTCAGTGCATCAGTGCCTTTTGCACCCACACTGGCACAAGATAGGTACTGCTCTCCGTGTATTGATACATTTACACAAGCTTGGCAAATTAGACTATAGGGAAGGCATGATTGACAAAATACATGGCAACTAGCATGGTTTTGAAAGATATGAAGACCTTCCCTGTTTCTAGATAAATGGTCTGAGGTCATGTTTCTGTCTGGAGACAATTTGTAAGATCCCTGAGTCCAGAACAAATCCATAGACTGTACACCTCTAGGTTTGTAATCCTGGCCCAACTTGTCTATCAGACAATCTAGCTAAGCTGATTCACTTGAAAAGTTGCTGAAGGCAAGTTCACGCCACGACCGTTTTTCAACCACTGGTCGAGATGTATTTTCAGCACAGGCAACCAGGAAAAATTGACCAGTGGTCGGCAAACAGCTGTCGCTTGAGCTTTGCCCTGAGTAGAAAGCTTAAAAGTAAGCTGCTACCTCCTTAAAGTTTTCCCAATCTTTTGGAATTGCTTATGAATGTAAATGTCCAGGAGTACCCTACTTTTAAAATAACAGAGTAAACTTGAGTTCGATTTGGTTCTATGATTGTTTGTTGGGGGGGGCATCACAGGGCGGAGAAAAGGTCATGACAGAGCCAGACTGCAAACCGTACGAGGAGGACTTTGGCAAGCGCTTTGCGGTGGATTTCCAGCGGCTCGTCTTCAAATTATCAGCTGCCCTGGGCAAAGACGGAGAACCCATCGAAAGCGGATCAGACAGAGCAGAAAACGTGAGTCCTGAATGTTGCCGACTCCCACAAACTTACTTTGAGAGTATATGATTTGACACTTACTTTTCCAGGTCACTTTGTTGGTGGCATGTGAATGTTCTATTCTTCCCTACTCCTTTGTAGTCCTCACTAAGAGGCTTTGCTGAAATTCTCTCCAATCGTCCACCGTGTGGCAAGTCAATGGTGCATTTATTGTACAGTCACTTTCAAGAAACATGAAGGCTTGTGCTTGCGCAGTACCATCTTCAATCCTTCAAACCCTCCAAAACCTAATGGATATCGAAGGATGAAGGAGGATTAGAGATGACCAAGATTCCTCAAGCGGGTATGGTTCACAAGGCCGAAGTAAAAATAAGCTGAGAAAATGATGAAAAAAAATCCATTTTGGGGTCCGGGAGGATGACCCCAAAGTGAGATGTTAGAGATCGAGAAAGAGGTCAAGGCTGAAGGATATATTGTTCTTGTCAGCCTGGATAGGATCCCAACTCTGGTCTAATGCGGAGAAGACAAAGAATATAAAACACATATCAATTAGATGGACACATGTCAGAGGTTGATTGTGCGGCATTTTCTGTCTGTAGGTTGAGCCTTTCTTCACCTCCATGTCCCTCTTTGACGTCCGGAACAACCGGAAGATCTCCGAGGACTTCCACATTGATCTGAACAGCCAGGTCATCCGGGCCCTGCTGGACAAGTACCGGGATCTGCCCAATGGGTCCTCGGCCACTGAGCCAGGCGCGGAGCGGAGGCAAATGAGCACCTTGCCCAACATCGACGGGCTGGACGAGAACTGGCTGAAGTACCCACAAAAGGTAGGCTGGAAATCCTTGGATGCTGAGAGTAATAATTTTGTTTTGCCAGTCGACCCTATTTGGCGCCACCCTCCTTTTGGAGTGCTTCTGAGGATGCAGCAGTCACTTAGGAAAACTGCTAAGGGAATGAGTTGGCAAATGTATCAGATAATAAGGGAGGGTAGAGACATTCATTTGCCGTTATCTTGCTATTTTTGCAGTACGTGACTGCTACTGTACTATACTTGCCTTGTTCCCTGTAGACCCTTGGCATTAGTAATGCAATTTTACATATTGATAAAAGGGAACAGACTATTTTTCCTTCCAGCCACCGATCGGTTACATTGCTATGAGCTGTAGAAAAGCAGGAAAGCTGACCTATGGTAGAGGTCTGTCATGTAGCAAATATCCAGCTCCTTGCTGTCGCCGTGCACCATGGCTGTTCATTTTTCATGAAGAAATGGTATTTCATGTGTTCGTGTTGTAGGCGATCTTCTCTGTCAAGGAACCGCACCCGGAAATCTACCTTGTCATCAGAATAGAGAAGGTACTGCAAGGAGGCATTACGCAGTGCACGGAGCCGTACGTTAAGACTGGTGATGTCCTGAAGGTAGGAACAGTTGCCACAGCGACTCTGATGTCTCGACGACAGCATCAGTCTCGGTTTCTTGAGTTTGCAGTTTGTGCACGCTGTTTAAATAGAAGTACATCTCAACTAGACTTGCATCTAGTTTCATGTTGGGAAGAATGCGAAGGAAACGAGTGTTGTCACAATTATACTGGGGGGGTTGATAGCAGACGATGGCGCATCTCCTTTTTTTTGTTAATTCCTCCACAGTCGTGTCAGAAAGTGATGAAGCAGGCGAAGATGTTCTGCAGCAGGATGGGCCAGTACAGGATGCCGTTTGCCTGGACAGCGAGGTACGTTGACAATGGGGCTACAACCCAAAATATTCTCAAATTCATTGGGTGGGGCCTTCCTCCAGCAAACCAGAGTTTCATTTTAACGAATTGTAGATGAAGAGATTATAAAAGATGAATTTGACGCCGCCAATTTAGCCGCTGAAATCCATCGGCTGTCAGGAGCAATTATCCTGTCAGATACATAGCCTCAACCTGAAAGTGCTTGGAGCATTTGTGGTGACGATGGCACCCCCCCCAGCAACCTTATTGTTGAATCATCGCTTGCTTCCTGTGGCCTTGAGAGAAGGGACAGTTGTGATTTGCTTCAAATTGAAGTGGACACACGTGATACATCACTACTGCGAATAGTTACAATTGGTCATGACCATGATGTGCAAAATCTGTCTTCAACTGTTTGCATCAGTTTTGCTGTCACTGAGTTGAGTTCCTGTAGCAGGACCACTTACAGACGTCTGAAGTTTGCCAGCTTTTAGGCGTTTTAACCTCTGGACATGTGGATAGATTTCCAATGTGTGCCCGTTTGCCGTGAGTGATCAGTTTTTAGGAATGAGTTCATTTACGGCGAGATGGAATATTCCATTCCATGCAGCTTCACTTCATCAAATAGAATGTACCATCTATCACCCTATGAAATTATCCTCAACACAGCACTCAAATACCCGTTATTTTCATTTCACTTGTTCTTCTTCCAAGAGATTCGCCAACTTTGTATGTTTGAAGACTTAGGCATATTGAAACAAGAAGCAGTTACAGTTTTAGAGGTGGGAGGAAAACCCCAGAGGAATATTCTGGGTAAAACCCACGGAATCAAGTACGGACTGAAAACCCTATCCACATGTGGACGGAGCCGGAATCGAACCCAGACCGCAGAGGTGGAAGGCGAGGAAAGAACCACTTCGCCAACCTGATTCCCCTTGAAATAGGCGAAAACATCTCTGAAGTTAACCCACATACCTGAAAGCTCAGGCCAGGACGTTTACAGCTCTCTTACATCGCCGCTAATTTGACCAGAAAAATTTTCCCGTGATAGTTAAATACACCTTCCGCTTTGTTTACTTGTGGAGATGAGCAGATAAGCTATTGTGTCATTCAGTATGTTCCAGTTTAATTGTTTAAGAACAGGTCGTTTTGACCCTCTAGACTGACTAAACTGAAGAGTCAATAGTGCTCAAGCTAATCACAGGTCCCCCCCATGGAATGGTCTCGCTTCGATGACACCTCCTCGGTGATTGTTAGGTTTTTCTTTGTTACACTGGTTAACACTCTCAAGAAGCATAAATAAGGCTTTTCCCTGTTGCTCTGCCCCAAGGAAAGACCGACCAGGCAGTTATGGTTTTTTTTTTAATCCTCTGGTTGCTCTGCACAAATCAGCAATCAGCTCTTTGCGGCTTTTTGCAGCGCCTACACTTTGGCTTAAAGCGGATCGTTTCAATTTGCCAGCTCCATGCGGCGGCATTTTCCTTCAACTTTTTTTTTTCTATACCCCCCCCCGGTAGTGTCAACCACCTATTGACAGATATTTCCCGGCCGGTTATCTCCCCGATCACCAAAAAAAAGAATCCAGTCCCTGGTCGGGGCACTGAATCATACGTCTGTGGCACCTGTTCCGTCCAATCAATTATCCGATTGAGTCAGGTTTCCACTAGCAGAAAATGTTGGCCATCCACCGCTCAGCGCATTCCCAGAGGGCTCATAAATACACAGGCAGAGTTTGGGGGGAGGACCTCTCTGTGATTTGTCATCCACAGCAGCAGTGTCGAATGTATGCACCCTCGGGCTCCTTTGATGCCTAATTAACAATTTCCCCTTCGAGTTCCTTTGCGTGCTTCATCGTTCCGGCCGGCTTACGAAGAGTTTGTGCCGCCATGTGGGCAAAGCAAACTTGACGTTTACCTAACAGGCAGGGCAGTTCTTTCACCACATTAAGGGGACACTTTCTTGTGTTAGTAAAATTCGGAACCCTGTTTCGGGACAACAGTTTGTCCCCCATAGCATTTTCGGTCCCTACAAAATAGGGGAAAAGATTAATGTATGTCTGCCAACTGTGGTAATTGGAAGTTTAACCTTAATACACGAACTCTTCATGTACCTTGAAACAAGAATGTTCCCACTGAGCAGGTTGGTTAAAGGCATCTCTCTTGGACTTGTCCACCTGGCTCGTCTTGTTTCTCCATTTTATTCGTTTGATCATCTCGTCTTCAGCATGTCTTAGGGGTGTCATGAGAGAGGGGCTTGGGGGAGGGGGCTGTGCAATCGCACTGTGCCCTTGTCTCGTCCTGTTTCTATCCACTCTGTTGGTTGGTAGAAATTTAATAACTGATAAGTTTTGAATGTTTATATTATTGATCTCAACCCCTGAGGCATTTTGACAAGTAACCCTCCTTAATGCTCAGAAAGGAAATTTTTTCCTTCGAAGAAAAAAACTGGCCCGTTCTTTTCACTGTAACTGCAATGTTTAATTGGCCTCAAGCCATCTGTATAAAGTAACGGTGGATGGGGTCCATCGTCATCCATCCTGCTAAATTCTCCAAAACCTTGGGGAGGATTTTGAAGAATATGTGAGTGGTAAAGTCACCAAATGTCTCGAGAATTACACTTTCTTGTGAATGAAGTGACAATGGTTTGGTGGCCAAGTAGTGATGATTTCATGTCTCTTCAACCCTCTGGACAAGATTAAGCTATGACTGTTTTTGATCACTGGTCAATTTCTCCCTGGTACCTCATACACAAAATAGATTCTGGGTACCAGTGGTTGACAAATGGTTGCCACTCAAAAATACATGTGTACCTTGTGTGCCACACATTGAAGAAGTGTAAATGACTTACCGCAGTTGAAACGGTGAACATTTCTAAGTTCTCTACTTTTGCTCCTGTTTTGCTCGCCCCCTCATAAAGAAATTTAATGAAAAGCAAAACGCCCAAACAGAATAGGTTTTGTTGTCCCCTTGTTGAATCACTTTGACGGAACACTTTCAGGGAAAAGTTTCTGATAATCCAATGTTCGTGATTGTCTTTCACCAGGCGTGTCTTCAACGACTACAGTGAGCTGGACCTGACCGGCGAGTTCTTCCCCATCTACCGGCAGGAGAGCAGCAAGCTGAGCAACGAGGACCTGCTCAAGCAGTTGCAAGACGTCCACAAGAACCCGGAGAAGCTCTCCAAGCTGACAGAGATCCCCGGCTACCTCAAGGCCACCGTCGAGCCACTGACCAGGATGCTGTCCAGTGGGTTTGCTTGGAAAATATAGCTGGGCGGGGGGCAGAGGGAGTAGGCATCTGCATTTTGCGATGGGGGAAGTTTTGTGTTCGGCCTCTTACAATTTTTCTTTTTTTGAGTTTCATGAAATTACCCTGAGCTGAATGGATTCCTGTGAAAACACTGTGCGAGATGAAATCATTTGTTCGATTGGCAAATGCTTTGTGGCTGGATATGGAACTCTTGCTTGTGAATGTGAAGATGACAGTGTTGCAGTCAAGTACATTTTCCATGAGTCTGAGCACGAGTATGAGCACAAAGAGAACTCAAGTACGAGTGCAGTTATGAGTGGGACAATACTGTGGTTTTAATCAAGTCCATTCGATGCCCTCTGGAAGTTGTCGGTAGTTAACCTTAAAAATGAAACCGAGTACTTACCTTTTCTGTGCTCGGTTTTTCTGGTATATGGGTATCTATAACTACTAGAGGATTGGATGCATGTTTCCAAGGAAAGTCTATTTCAGTTGTACATCATCAGTGCAAGCCAGTTGTTCAAGCTTGCTCTTAATCATTGGTTGGTGCTGCAAAAGCCTCTTTGAAACAGTACTCTGCCACAGCGTTGTGAATTTCTTCCTCGTCCCCTTTATCTGCAAAGATTGCCTAACCTCGTCCTTGATACCCGCGATGCCGTGGCCCGATCCTCCGATAGTCCCGCCCACTTTGGAGGTGGAGGAGTTCCTCCCGGAGAAGGGCGCCCTCTCGCAGCCCTTCACGACATACACCAACAACCTCTACGTCTATCCCGTGCAACTCAAGTACGACAGTCAGAAGACTTTCACCAAGGTGAGGGAGGCAATGCGGCCCATTTACCACAAGAAATTGACTGCAGGCTTCGCAGTGGAAAGTGGGGATTTGTTCACCGTGTCAAAACTTGGTTCAGTCGAGTTGGTTCTTGGTTCTATGAATCTCATACTGAATGCCATACTCGTGTGGACTCCTGTGAGAAATTTCGTTCCATTTTTCCAGGCGAGGAACATCGCACTGTGCGTGGAATTCCGCGACTCGGACGATGAGGGCGCTCAACCTTTGAAGGCCATCTACGGCCGACCGGGAGGTCCCATCTTTGTCACCTCGGGGAGTGCAGCCGTCCTCCACCATCACCAAGTACCGGACTTCTATGAAGAGGTCAGTGACGGCAAACGCTCCAAATGGAAGAGTCCAGAGCTGTTTATAGAGAGTGTTGTGACATCAATTGTTGGAACCAAAATGGAGGATTATGCATCAGTGCACATGGATGATTAGTACACAATAGATTCATGCTGGACTGCACAGATAATAGACAGCCATGTTGGTTCCAAAGTCTGAAATCGCTGCTACTCTGTGTGTACAGCTCTGGCACAGTCTAAAACTCGTAAGCTCTGAGAATTTTCTTTTTTCAGATAGGGTTTTTGTTTAAATATTGCAGAGGTGGCTGGCAATCCGGCTTTGGCTTGAAATGACACACAACTTTATGTGAACTGGCTGTAGCAACTGAAGTAGACTCAGCCACAGCCAAGCAATTTAAACATTAGTCTAATTCACTAAGCAAGGAAAACATCTGCTAAGCAAAAAAGCAGGTGAATGGCCAAAATGTGGTGCGATTCATACTGCCTATGGCCGGTTCCTGGCACATTCTTAGCATGTAGACTTTCCACTTAATACCTCCTTGAAACTGGAGACAGAGGAGATTATTAGAAGAGACTTTAATAATGAGTCGACCAGATTGAAATTGAAGAAGTCAACCCTTCATTTTTGGAGATTAAAAGTAGAAAATCAAATTTTGTGACAAATCAGTACGGGCTCCGCCATATGTAATTTCGAATTTGTTATTAAGCCAAATAGTTTTATAACTCAGAAATTGAAAAATGTTGAAAGGGAGGCCTGGAACGCATGCCCTCATATAATAGTCTGGCACCATCCAAATCAACACTTCACAATTTATAAAACAGATTCAGGGAACAAGATTGAAATTGTTTTCTGCGTAATGTCTATCGCAGAGGTGATAAATTTTTCCATTTTTCCCTCCCCTTTTCAGATCAAGATCGCCCTGCCCACTCAGTTGCACGACAAACATCACCTGCTGTTCCGGTTCTACCACGTCAGCTGTGAGGTTGGCAAGGGCACCGTCAAAAAGAGGGACACGGTCGACTCGTTCGGTAATTTGGCCATATCTCCTTTTTTTTTATGTCCAAGCATCTTGTGAGTTCAGTTTCAAAACCAAATTTTCCGGTATAAGTTTACATTGTATCTAATTTGGGTTTTCCTTTGAAACATTTCTCGAGTCTTTTTAATAGCTTTCTGTTAGAGCTAAAGTGGTATGACTTTATTTTCCAATGAAAGCAAGTTTTTTATTTGCTATGCTTCAGAAGGTTTTCGGGGTTTATGAAGTCTTGTTAAAAGTGGTATACAACTGTTGAGGTGCTGGCAAGCAGCTGTGTTGATAAGTGTAAAAACTGCCACACATGTAAAGTCTTAATGTTTGTGTCGGCACGCTACTGCTAAAGCACAAACTGCATGGAATTTGATTCNAAAGTCCAACAGCCTCTGTGCACAAAGTCCCTTATGGGTGTTTAACTTTGTGTGAATGGGGAAGGTTAGGGCCAGCAACCCTTGGGGGGTTAGGGTTAATGTAACACAGCAACTGACGACAAACTCGGATTATTCATAAAAATGCTGAAAATAACAGATAGAGGTTTTATTTGATCCACCATCATATTGTGATCAAGGTGCCACATTGTTCTCAGAGAAATTTAGCACTCAGTTTAAAGTGGAACCCTAATGTGAATGACCTTTTACTCGGTGAGATCATTTTTGGTTCAGAAATGAACAAATGGTAGCTTTGCAATTTGGTTACTGTGCAAAACTGGTGAAAATGAAGGACAAGACTCGTGAGCAAAACTACTAGTTGTTGGACAATATTTTGGTTTCGTTCCGTTCTGCAGCAAATTTGCTGCATCAGACGCATCAGAGTTCACCAAAGAAAAAACAAGAACTGAAATCCTTTTTTGTATTTGACTTCATTTCATTCATTTTAACCGTCATTACTTCCTTCTCTCTCTCGTCGCTGTTTGTCCTTTCTTGTTCTTCTGTCAATGCCCTCTCTATTGCTCTCGTTAAATTCATTTTGTTGCCTCTATTTCTCACTCTCATCTCCCACTCTCTGCCACCTCACAGTGGAGCCCTTAGAAGGTATTTTCACCCGTCAACCGTTTCCTTTTTTAGAGTAGTATTCCCGAAAATCTCTCCGCCCGGTCACACGATCTGATAAGACCTCGTCTCAGTGCGACTGCTTTAGTCACGTTTACCCCATTGATATGCTGTTCATGTGCATACTAAACCAGCATAACTGGCTTGACTTCTTCACCCTTCCGTTTTTATCTGCTGATAACGGTGTGGTTGTACCGAGTTGCCCACGTGCATGTACATGCACATGCACATTGTAATCACATCAAACCTACAATTACTTGTTTAATTTGCCGTTTGAGTTTATGCTTTGTGTATGTTACTGATGCAGCACTCACAGATAAATCATGGAATCAGAAAGCGCCGTATCAAGAAAACTTTCAGTAAAAGAGCAGAGATTTCAGCGTGCCACTACAGTTTTTGTTTTGTCCCTTATTTTTTTGTGCGGTTGTGGTCTTTATTTCTTTGCATGGCTGTGTCCTGTTGGCTCCATGCTTCCAAATCCAAGTTTGTTTTTTTTTTAATCTAAAGTTTCAGTTGTGGGGGTCGAGTCATTGAAACAGTCTCGTTAGTTTCATGGGAAGATGTAGTACCCATTTCAGCCTGACTGTCTTTTCCATTAGAAGCCCCTGGGTGTCGATAGTTTCAACATTCTGAGACATTCACTTGTACAGTCACTGTCTGGAAGATTTGCTCATATTTGTTGATAAAGGTTTCCACCTGTATCAGTGACAAATCGTCCCAGAACATCTTTCCCACTTCTGTCGTCGCTCTTGTTCTCTCGTTGGCGAACCTTGACCTATATCACCTGTTACAATTTACAAATGTCATATCTGGCGTTGTCACTCAAGCATGCCCAAATTATGTTGTGTTCTCTCTCTTGTCCGTGCGGGACCTTTTGCCCCGGAGTGGTATGGCTTTCTTCATGTTATGCACTAATATTTTTGCCTGTATAAGGGACATAAACGTGTACCTTGTATCCAAGAAACATTTAAGGGTGCCAGACTCACTGCCCATTCATTCTTTTTGCATGCATAGTCAAACCTGGGAAATGGGTAAAGGTTTAGGTTTTTCTTGGTAATCCGGCCAGCAAGTCGTCTCCAAACTGTTGAATTGTAAGATCCAATTCTCTTTCGTACCCCCAAAATGGCATCGCAGGATGCCTTGAAATGGGTCATGTGAGACAAATTCAGACAATTTCACTTTGGTCTCTTTTTTTATTGTCTGTTCCTTTTTCCTGGTCATTCCTTCTGTTTGTGTCTTGCTCTTATTTCTGTCTTGCTTCTCACTGGAGACTTTTTCCGTTTCATAATTTTTCCGTTCTATAATTTTCTGAGCACAGACTTATTTGATTTCTCATGAAAGGTGATTTCCTTCAAAAATTTCATCGAATTCCTATTTTATTTTTTGTAAAGGCGGGTTTCTCAATTGACCAGAACTATTCTAACACACTTGTCGTGCAGTGAATAGTCCGTTTTATATTGTCAGCTTATTTTGAATGAGTGATAAAGACATCAGTGGTTTGTGCATCACAGAATGCTTTGCATTAACAGTGTAAACACATGCATGAATGGCATTATACAACACTTGTACATTGTTGTATTTCATCCGGAATGTGTTTTTTGAATTTCCGTGTATGTCATGATATTTCGTTTTTGTGTAAATCCACACACTGGGCGTAGTAACTAGAGTCGGTGCAAATGGGACAGCTAACCAGTCTGTTGAGCGATATCCCCAGCTGTTGTATAAATCTGTTTTGATTACAACAGGAGGAAAAAAAAAAAATTACGTGATCGCGATTGGTAATCCTTAATCTGCCTGTCATTTTGTCTGTTTATGTTGCAGTTGGCTATGCTTGGATTCCTCTTCTAGATGGTGGAAAGTAAGATTGATGTTCATCTCGTTTTGATTTCTTGTGTGCTTAGGAGTAGACATTAATGCCACACAGCCAAGACAGTTTTCATGTTGATCGTGCCGCATCTTTGATTTGGTGCTTGTAATTTTTGTTCATCAGAAGTTTTAGTGTTGGACTATGAGACACTCTATCGTCAAGGCATTCTGTGTTGGGTTGATGACAATTATTTTTTTTTTTTCAGTATAGTATTTTGCTAAAGAGCCATGTTTCTGGTTTGCCCCTCAGACCCAACTGGGGCGACCTCTCGGTGTGTGTCTCCTCCAACCTTCCTGGAAACTACCTGGGCACTAAAGGCGCGACGAAGGTATGAATCGGGCAGTCCACTCCTCTTCCTGACCCAGTTCCTTCGACCCCTTGATCTTTGAAACCAGCGTTTCCAGTTGATTTGATTAAAGAAGCCATACAAGCTTGCATATTGTGAGGTGCCATTGACTTCAACCAAAGCCTGCATGTGGGAGTATTTCCTCGTTTACTTACCGTATTTGACTTAGAACTGATCTCTGTCCAATGTTTTGTAAACAACCTTTGTTTTTTTTTGGAGTAACAGGTCTGTGTACAATTTAAGGAAAGCAAACATGAGCTCCATTTGCTGAGTTTGTTTCAGAGACACGCTTAACCACCAGAGGAGAAAGACAAGACTTCGAGCCCAGCTATGGGATTCTAGGACTCCATTTATAGACATCATTGTACCGTTTCTCTTTCTGTTATCGCAGCCTGAACTGAAGCTTGTGGACGGAGGGAAACAACTTCTAAAAGTCCATATCAGATTAGCGTCGACTATCTACACGACGGTAAGAAGTACCAAGATGTTAAGATTCACCATTATGTCTTATTAAATTGTATTATTGTGTTGTGAGCCAGCACAAGACTGTTGCTGAAAATCTATCAAGCAGTGACTTCCAGGAAAGTTGCCACTGCCACTGTCATTGTCATTGTTGCTGTCCAGATTATCTCGTCAAAAATTGTTTGTGCATGGTCTTCATTTGCCAGAGTTGCTTTCAATGTTAATACATGTCAGTCATTGCGGCCGGGTGTCTTTTCTTCTTGTCCTGCCCAGGCACAACATCTTCACAACTTCTTTGTTTCGTGTGAGGCATGGGAGGGCAAGAGCCCGGGCGCTTTGCAAGTGATTCAATACATCAAGGTAATAGCTCATATTATCGTCAGCTTGGGAGGAGTTACTAGACGTGGTATGCTTACAGGGGTACACCTGAAGGGGTAAACCTTTCATCCTGGTTCGTTGAGTGGACGTTTGAATGCAACACATGTAGTATCGTGCTTGTTACACTTCTAATGTTTTGCGTAATTTTTGGGTTTTTTTAATGGCAGGCCATGCATGCTGTGGATACGGATTCCTTGATCAAGTTCCTGCCCGTCATATTAAACCAACTTTTCCGCATCCTGCCGATGGCTGTGATGGACGAAGTGCAGCTCAACGTTGTCAGGTCAGATGATTTTTTTTTTTTTAAAAGGTTCTTCAAAATCCTCAATTGTATAAAACCAAGGGCGTATTGTTTGTAATGAGACTTTTCCGGGATGGGGGTATCAAGTCCAACGCTGAGTAAAAGTCGAGTTGCTTTCTCCCTTCCTCAATCCTTCGAAATCCTCCAGGACCCCATGGAGAATTTTGAAGGAACTAGAAGGATTTTTAGGATTAAGAACTTGGCATGTGTCAGAGAGGCATCACTGCATGATGGATTGCAGATGGTGAGATGTCAGTGAATAGAATCTTGCTGAAGTACACGATTGATGTCAATTCTTTCTTTCACATGTGGCATTTTTTACGCATTTCTCTCCAAGGCTAATCATCTTCATCGTGTCTCAAGTCCACAAAGATGGGCGAGAAGATGTTCTTCACTCCTACGTCAAGGCAAGCACCCAGTCTATTTGTTGAAAATTTGATGTGCCTTTTTTTGTCACAGCGCTCATGTATTCACAAAAAATTGACATCAGCAAAACTAAATGGATGTGACATCTTTGTCCGTATACTTTTACCAGTTTGTTTGATTTTGGGAAAAAATCAGTGATTGCTGAGAATTTGATGTGACAATGCAAGACAGTTGGGCTGATTTTCCAGGTGACATCTAATGATATTGGAACACAAGTTGCCTTGAACCAAACTCGTTCATTTCTTATTTTGAAATCGCATCCTCAACCTTCAGTACGTGTTTGAGACGGAGAAGGAAACGGCGCTGCAGAAGACGGTCCACGAGGAGCTGGTTAAGAACCTGGCCATGTCGCTGAGACCCAGCACCGACCAGCAGGTCATCAAGAACCTCATGAAGGTAAAACAAATTAATGACAGAAACGGTTGGAGTTTTACATCGGGTTCGAACTGTGGTCGCCAGAGGCGAAAAATATCAACGCGACAATCGAACACTCTGCCTGCACCAACCATGGAAATGACTTTTCGATGTGGTGGTTTTAATTGTTGGCAGCGCCCCCCCTGCCCTGTTTGAGGGTGCCAGTCAGTGCTGATTTCTGTTATAATTTTTGGGCTGGAAATGGAAGCGTCACAGAGCAGTGTGGGTGGTTAGTGTATGCACATCTGTGCACATTTGTTTCAAACGCTGAGGTGTTCGTAGCAGATAATGAAACTGGCCCCTTGTCCGTTGCCCCCCTTTGCCACCTGAAACCGCTGGAGCATTTGATGGTTTCAACAGGTCGTTTGTGTCGTTCAGAAAGTGTTTGTCTCCCCCCCTCCTCCCCCAGCACATGTGGTTCTTCTTCAACATCATCATCAAGAGCATGGCGCAGCACCTGATCCAGGGTGACGGCCTGAAGCAGGCCCGCATCAAGCGCTTCTCCACCAACTTTGAGACGGGCCTGCGCAACCTGGTGCAGGTCCTCATGCCGCACATCCTGCAGAAGCAGGACGTCCGGCAGCGGCAGGACGCCAAGGATGCCAACTTCCACCTGGCTAACTTCATCAAGGTGAGCCAGAGGTTCCTCTAGCGAAGCCGACTCCTTTAAACTCGGGAGTAAAGTCGGTGCAAAGCAGTTTTCCCATTGAATGCTTCACGTATCAGTTCTAATTGTCTTTATTGCAAATATTTTTCAAACTTGACGTGAACACAGCTCATGGCAGGGCGGTGTTTACCAATTCCTGATTGTTGAAGGATTTTGTCTTCATGGTGCGATTAGCAGACGGAGATCTCGGAAAATATCAAAATTTCAACACTCATTACTTTTTGTTTTGGTGACTAGCGTTGCTTCACTTACATGGATCGAGGGTTTGTCTTCCGTCTCATCAACTGCTACATGGGATTCTTTAGCTCTGACGATGCTAAGGTAAGGCTGTGTCCAAAATGGGCTTCCCGTTTTTGGCGTGTCCTTGTGTAATTCCAGTGGGTGAAGACCTAGACTTGAATCAAGACTACCTATTCAGATGGCAGCCTCACTGCACCATGCTAAGCCATAAAGTTTCCATTGTTGGTGATGGCATGTTACCTCATGCGCAGTTTATTGGCTGTGGCTAGGGATAACATGTACCAGAAAGCTTATGGCTGGCGGCTAAAGCCGCTTCCCATAGACACGTGTGTTACCGCCAGCCCCAGCTGGGTCATTGGATCGGGCCATATGACCTTTGACCCTCTGATTTGACCCCCAACAGCCCGTGTTTGAGATGAAGTTTGAGATGATCCGTGTGGTCTGCAGCTACGAGCATTACATTGCCCTGAACCTCCCTTTGCAGAAGAAAGGCCAACAGCAAGGGAAAAACTTTAAAAGTAAGTCACTCCAACCTTGACTGGAATCCCTCTCCAGTGAGGATAGAAAAGTGCCAAAGTCTCTATTTCAAAATTTAAATGTGGCTACGGATTTTATCATTTCAGCGAAAGAAATCAAAAAGCAGAATTATTTTTTTTAATTTTTGGTAATCTCCGCAATAGCGGTTTTTGTTTTGTTCAGTTCTGAGGAAAAACTTGCTAGCAAGTTGTTAAAGTTCAGCTGGTCGGCACTTTAGTCCTAGCATTGTTCTTAAATGCAGGCTTTTATTTTACAAATGAAGCTTTCCTGTATTGGAAGTCTCGAGCGCGAGGGATTGAGATTTCAATTACTGGTGTGCGTGTACAGAAAAAAAGGTGAAGGCCATGGTGCTTCTGACATCGAGTTGATTTTCTGATCTCAAATTAATTATACTTTCTCATTCCTTTTGCTGTATATTGTTTCCTTATTTTGCCAATTCTTAGAGCCATTTTTTAATTAACATCCCATATTCCCGGGTTTTCCTTTTTTCCCATTGGTTTCCCATCCTGTTTTACCTCTTCCTTTCCTCATCCTGGTTCCCATTTCCTCATCCACTGTCAAGGAAAAAAACGGGGAGCTCAAAAACTGGGTTGCTCTTGAGTTAACATTCGTCTACGTTTATTAATTCACCTTGGTTTCAAAAGACTTTTATCCTGTGTTTGGAGAATTTACAAGTAACACTTACACTCCTTTAATAAATGCTGTTTGGGTCATTCAGGCTCATTTTTCCTAGAATTGTCTTCATTCCAGCATCTTGGAAACGTTGAAATTGAGGCAGTAATATACCCTACAGACCAAGTAATAGACCAGTCATGCCCATCAATCAACTAACATTAGTTTGTAAACATTCCATTGTGATCCACTCAAAGCATTTCCCATTTATTGCCCCGGAAGTCTCACTCTACTCTTTCATGACATTTGAGTGATTGCTTTTTACATGAATGTGTATATTTTTTTTTTATAACCAACTGTCTTCTAATCTCTCCCACATTCTTGCCATTAACTCCACTCCGCTTCTGTCTGGTTCTTGACGTTCTCGTATCTTGCACTCATTCTTACACTAATAGGCACCAGTGGCTCGGCCGTTGCAAGCGGTACGTACACTCAGTCCCTCGTCATTGCTATTAGGCGTTAGTCAGTGTCGGCCTTGACGTCATTGTGCGTAGAGATTGTCGATGTTTTGATGTTGCTTGCGTGTGAATTCTGCAACATTTGCTTCACCCCAAACAGTCGCTGTTGTTCACTGCACAATGGTGTTTGTCACCTCGACCAGAATTCCTTAGACAGTTTTAGGTGACGTAGTGACTACCAAAGTGGACAGATTTTTCTGAACTGGAAAATCAGACAGCATTCAATGAGGAATGGGACTGCTGTAAAGTTGCAGACACTGAAGGGACATTGGCCAAAATCATTTCATGTAATCCCGAAAACCATGTCCCTGCAAGGGTTCACATTATATTTGATCTAGCTCATAATATGGGTTCTTTTAAGATGGGGTTCTGCTTTACTTCTGCATTTTGTGCTTGGTACAAGATTTCAAAGTGTGATATTATTTGGTGCTCAGTTTTGAGAAGGTTTGAAGGTCCGAAGGCAATTTTGGGAACTTCGCATGGAGATTTTCTTCCTTATCGAGTTAAAAACAGCACTAAATTAGCTTGCTTAGAGTGAACTCGCTCTTGTCTTACTTTTGGCATTTGCTGCTCAGAGCTCAAAACTCAAAACATCTGAAGCTGTACTGTGTGATGCAAATCCTAGCTGTTGCTTCTCACTTCCTTCTCAGCAAATTAAGAAAAGACGCAAGAAATGCTCGTAATTGCTCTCCTCGCTGCTGAGCGACTTTCAGCCTTTGAAAATTCCGACTCTGCAGGCCCAAAGTTGGAGATGAAGATACCTCTGCTGCATCTGCTGTCTTGTTTGAACAGTTATACTTACATGTCGTCAAGTGTCTGATCGGAAGCATAACAGTGTATGAAATTTGCTATCGTTGTGGTGCTTCGCTAACGCTTCCCCCCTTGTTTTGTTTCCCCCGCCCACCGCCAATGCTCCATATCACAGCCTACATGGGGAATTTGCGGAAATATGGTGAGGAGGCAGTACGTCGTAGTTGCAGAGTCGTAGTTTTATTGTGGTTTGGGTTAAACAAGTTGAGAGCGTAGTCTAGAAGTAGTTAGATTACCCTTTTTTCCTCTAATTTCGGGGAGGTTAGCCAATGATTGATACAGAATATCTACAAATTTTTCGTTACTCTTACAGAAATTAGTAATCTATTCTGTTCATTTATTTGGGATTTTTGTTTGCGTAGGAGGGTGTTCACCCTGATGTAGAACATTTCATTTCGGTTTATGGAATCTTTATCGTGGTTTGGATTTTTTGCAAACTGATTATTCCCCTGGTAAATTGGAGTGTGGTGGTAACTCTCTGCTGCAGTCGTCCCCAGCAAACCCCCCGATTACGCACGCCTGCTGCTCTCAAAAAATGCTCAGTATGAAAAGTACATACATGCAGCAGTGGAACCTACTCATGGCCGTGGGTCTCCAAGAGCAGGCTACCTCCTCAAACAATCAGGCTTAAAAAGAGAATGAAGACCCGGCTTTTTAGCAACACTTGCTGAACCCTAACACCCTTTTCTTTGCAACGGGGCCGCCAGTGTTTGTTTTTAAGCACCATCACATCCTGTTTCTCTGGCCTGCATTGCTCGTCCCAACCGACCTAATTCACTGGGAAGCCATTTTTGTTATGTTGTTCCCTGAATCTAAAACATTTAGAAATAATTTATCACAAATGTTCAATTATTCCAAGCAATAAGTGGGATGAATTTGTTTTGAACTTTTATTTCATAGCTGTTAATTTTTCTCCCTGGTTCCCCAAATGAAAAAGTTTACCTCACTTTTTGTTCAAGATGGCCAACACATGAATACTGTCTGTTGCATTGCACGGGTCTGTTTTTGTGGGGTAAAACTCAAAGTGGAGTCGTTCAGCGAAATGGCCAATATTACACTGGGTTGGTGCTAACAGCTTCCCTAATAGTCCAAAATGCTCCAGACAAGTCACCCTATGTATCTATCTTTCCTTGCAAGAACAAAAATGCTTTGAAAAAATGCCCCTGAAAATGCTTTGATATTTAATCTTGCATGACGCTGCTGCCAAGCACTACCTACCTTTCTATTCTTGTATTGTTTCTATTTTTCCACCCTTCTCCGGTGAACCCCTGTTGCCATGGTTACAGTTCAAATCCGCCCTGCCAAAGAACAGTACAAAGGTTGGTTCTCGCTCATTTGTTTGCTCTTAGTTTGCTTTTTAGTTTGAAGGGAGATCATCTTAAAATGATGTGTCTCGGGATGATTATTTTTAAAATTGTAAATGAAACACAACTGCTGAATTTTTTTCCCTTTTTTTGTCTATGACTCCTTTTGTTACTCATGGACATCATAAAAATTCTAGATTCATTGTGCCCTTCATCAGCCCGTGTCAGTCATTGAAGCCACTGGCAGACATCTTACCATGCTGAATACAAACGGTAACACAGAGGCTGGCTTGCCGTTGTCAACCACGTTGTTAATGGCTGCAATAGTTACAGTGGTTTGCAAACCATCAATCACCTATATATTGGGCTAATTAAAGATGGTCACCGATGGCTTCAGTTGATACAAGAGTATTGCAAGTGTAAACTCTTGTATGTGATGTTCATTTTATTACCGTCATTTTAAGATGGCCTCCCAATTACTGCACTTAGTAACAAGGTTATATAAAGGTGCACCTGTTGCACATGAGCGCATTTTTTACCTGTCCACTGAGACTACACTGGCTTAAATTGTTAACGGCAAAGCATGGCTGTGCTAGTTTGATTGTTTTATAGCTCCGTGGTTTGATGCGGTAAATTAAGACCCGTAGAACAAAAACAGAATCACTACTTTCATAAAGCCATCAAATAAAGTCACAGAGAAGCATTTATCACAAATTCATTCATCATTTCACGGAGTGTCACAGGGAAAGGCGTGCCAAAGTGCAAAGCATACACGGTGTTTTCCAGTTTGTGTTTAAAATCGGTTTTGTTAGAGTTGTGACAAATGCAGAGATTAGAATTCGAAGAGATGTCTTTGGCAACATAACTATCTTTGTTTCTCTGTTTTTCCAAATGGTCAGATCTCCACTACGATTATCAGCTGACAGAGGAGTACTGCCAGCAGCACTTCTTGACCGGTCTCCTGCTGAGAGAAGTGGGCTCTGCCCTGCACGACGTCACCGAGGTGCGGCAGAACGGAATCCGCGTCCTGAGGAACCTCCTGGCCAAGCACAGCTTTGACAACCGATACTCTTCGAAGGTACTGCTCTCTGCTGTCACCTGTGCTTGCAGTTTTGTTCGTTTTTCAGCTGTTCAGTGGAAACCACATTGAAATAGAGCAAAAGTGGGTGTTTCACTCTCAGCCCAGAAGTGAACGTGAATGTTAATTAACATGATGTTGTGGCACGTGTACTCGAGTGCTCACACTCTTCATACTCATGAAGAACTCATTTTTATACTCTAACTCACACATGTACTCATACTCATGAAGAACTCAATTTTATACTCTCACACATGAAGAACTCAATTTTATACTCTAACTCACACATGTACTCATACTCATGAAGAACTCAATTTTATACTCTAACTCACACATGTACTCATACTCACGAAAGACTCAACTTTATTCTCCAAATCATGGTAAAATACTTGTATCTGTACTCTTACTCTTGATGAAATAATTCTTTTTGCTCATGATAAGGCACCTGTATTCTTAAGAGAGATTGTAGAAATGGTATCCAAATACCACATGGAACATTCGCAGTGAAATTTGCAAGGTGGAAACGTCGTGATTTGATTTCACAAATTCACATTCGTGTCATGAGGGAAACTGACTGAAGGCAAATTTATTTGGGGACAAGTTTAATGCAAAATGTATCCTGATTTTCCAAATGCATCTGTTTCTGGTTGCCATGGCAGCAATACCAAGCCCGCATTGCAGCCCTCTACCTCCCCCTCATCTCCATCATCCTGGAGAATGCCCCCCGCCTAGCCCGGGAGGCACCACCCACCCCGGGCTCTGCCTCCGTCAACGGCGAGAACCTCTTCGACATGTCGTCCTTGTCCACCAGCTCTCTCCTGACGGACTCGCCGGTGATTGACCGCCACAACAGCGTGTCCACGGCTGCCTCCAAGACCAAGTCTCTCCAGAGGGACTCGGCCGTGCTCGACATGATCGCTGGAAGAGGTAGGAACTCTCTTGGACTCTAACCCCCCCCCCACCGTGGGATTTCTCTTCCCTAGGCACCTTGCCGTGAATGCAACGGAATGCAACACAGCTGAAATGAGCCCCCATGCTGAATACAGCAGAATGCATCAACGTGCATTGAAGGAGTCTGTGTTGTGCAGGTCACTAGACTAACACCGGCTTTAGCCTTATCAAGCTGTCACTTGTATTCATTACCAAATATAACGGCACACTACACCTTTCCTTCAGTGTTGCATTCTGTTGCATTTAGCAGGGCTGGATTAAAAAAAAAAGTTGTAACTGTGCAAATGTGTCCCTCTTGATTATAAAAAAAAACATCCTTAGATTGTGAACAACTTGAAATCAATCGGTCTCCTTACTGACCAACTTGCTATAGCTCCGAAATAATGTGTGATAGTGGACTGGTTTTTTTTTTGGTGATGCCATGTTTGAATTGGTCATGTTATTTGAATTGGTAAACCTTCCGAGTGACATTAACACTGACATTAATGCCGTCTTTGCATGGTTGCATATTGGAATGAATGCAGTTGACTTTGAAAACAAACCAAAAACTGGTCTGTGGATTTGAAATCCGACATGAAATGAGACTTTGCACATTTGGAAAGTTGCATTTTACCGAGTGATTAATAAAAAAGGACTTATAGTCATAGCTTATACTTAGAAGTAACTTAAATATTTATCAGAATACATGTAGATCTGCTCCGAGAAACATTGATTGATAAGTAGCAAATATTTTTCTAGAACGTTTACAGTGAACATGAATACTTGTATCTTTTATGTGTACTTCAATGGTTCTGCGTATTTGCTTTGGAGTTGTGTCTTAATTTGAATTCGTCAACTGCCTGGTGGGAAGGTACAAGCTTGCATTTCACATACTAAGACTTTTAAGAGGGTCACATGGAAAGGTTTCCTTGAATTCTGGCACACTTGATTTGGCACACAGGCTTGAAATCAATGCGTAAATCAGAAACAATCTCTGGCAAAATAAGTCAGAACAAAAGGGCACAAGAAAGTAGTCAATATTCCCCAACTTAATTCTGTCATCCGTCCACCCGCCAGGCACTAGACGAATTGAACTAACTTTAGGATTCTGCCCTCTACGGGGGTGTGATACCTGTACTAAATGGTTCCTTTCTCAGCGGGAGAGTGCTGGTATTAGCAGCCTTCAGAAAAATGACACCCATCTATCAAAGTAAAATGTAGAAGCTTTCCAGATAAATACCGTTGACTGAGAAAGAAAAATGGATTATCCGCTTTTGGCTCTAGACCACAGCGAGGCCCTGGAGTTTTGCCATGAGACCTCAAAGTATTCTTTCCCAGGACTCGTTGTGTCGATTGGCACTTTAAACCAGGTTGAGTGGTAAAAACTGGCACAATAAAGCTTGTTTTAAGGGAGAAAAAGCATTGTGGCCAGCAAACATACTTCATTAGACCCAATTGGCTTGTGAAAAACAGTGGTGGTCTACCTTGGGAGTCAAAGGTCATTGAGGTCAAAGATCAAGAATGAACACGGCCGCCACTTGGATCTTCTGGTGGTCTTGAATGCACACTGGCCACTCCAAACAGTTTCTCGATCAACGGATATTTGTCCGCAGTCCACTAACCCATTCTCCAAAATAATGCTTTCAGTTTCAGCCGGCCGAGTTCTCCGAGGTGCTCTCTGTTCCTCATTAACCGAAATTCCAACTTCTCTTTTGTTTTTCCCTCCCCTTATTAACGTCCGTGTCCATCTGGCGGGGGGGGTCGCTGTCACTGTATATTTTCTCCCCTTGAGCCAGCCCATTCCTTCAGTGTGGGAACGTCCGGCATCAAGACCATGGGTATTCTCATCGTGTCTGTTGGTCACCAAATGATTGTGTATTACATGGCTTGGTTGCGGGATGCTTTCTTTTTGTGTTTTGTTTCTCTACTTTTGCCCAATGTTGTATTGTAAAACAGATTTGACATTTTGGTTGACTTGCATAACAACGACAGCCTGGAGCATTTTTAGTAGTTTCTTCCCGAAAGAAAACTTTGTCCAAAATTGTTAAGTTTGAAAGACAAGGAAATGTGGTTTTTTTTAATAGGATTGTGATTATGTGATCATTGGACTGCAGAATTTTTTCTACACCAAAACTACCGTATTCTATAATGCTTCAGTGTGCTTGTTATGATCAGTCACCATGGTAACATGTCTAGCATCTTCAAGCCTCATCATCATCTTGCCTGAAATCGTTGTTTTCTTCCTGGTTGATTCACAGATCAACTGATGTTAACTTCGAGACAAAACATTTAAAAGTTATGAAAATCCTTTGGAGTGACCTGTAATGTTGGAACGCTCAACTTTATTAAAGAAGAGAACAAGTATTTTGTGAAACTCTCTGTGAAATGTTCATTTCCACCACACACAAAAACAACGAACATCCAATAAGAGAATTGACATCAACATGTGCATGAAATGAAGCTGCTACAGACGTCTGTCAACTCTTTTTTTAGCGCCACATGTTTTTTTCCCCTTGCACCCTGATTTCTTTTCTTTTACCCTGCTTTGCCTTTTGAGTTGTGCATGGTGTAATGCTTTGCTGATACGTAGGTTGGCAGAGTTTAGTGCTGTGTCCTGCGGCACCCATGCTCTGACTTTTGGGTGTCAAAATGTATTTTTCTGTTTGTGTTGACTCGTGGTGAGAAGTGTCGGTCTTTCTCATTGATTTGGTTGATTTGTGAGTGTTTAGTCATGTGTTCGTTGTAATGATTTACTACAGATGTTTTATGGGATAGATGTGTTATTTTGGGGAGCCAAGTTTTTTGGGCAAATTGGGTTTTTCCCCCAAGATTATTGACCCCAGTTAGAGACCAGAGAAAGGTTGAAATTTCTGTGTGTTCTCTCTCAAAAAAAATTCCATGATTTGCTGGTGTTGTGTGTTGCTGATTCTCAAAAGTAATTTCCATTTTCTGTTATTCTCTCTTGATTAGAGTGCACTCAAATCTTGGCTTAACCCTCAGCAGCCTACCTCAAACTAATTTGCTCCTTATCCCAAATCCTAAACTGCCAGTCACACTTCCAAGTTCCCTCTGCAAATGCACTTTACTAAATAAAATGCTCTTTCAGAACTTGTCAGTGGGGTATTCCAAGCTCTCGATTTCATCCCCTGAAAAAAGTTGGCATTTCTGTGGCACTTTGTGAAGAGAGGATGTAAATCCACATTGGAATATTCCATTAATGCTCTGGGGGTGGGCTGAAAGTGCTAAATTCCAGCTTGTTTAAGTTTGCAACTTTGCATCTTCGCGCAGGGCTCTTTTCTGTCTAACAGTTGCACTGCTCCAAGACCAAAATACAGAAAAATGCCAAAAATTACCACACAGTTCACACAACTGAATATATTTTAATTTTGTTCCTTTTTTTCATTTTTGGTTACATTAACCAAAATGTTCATTTTTCACACTAATATTGTCACCTCATAATCATAAACTTCCAAACCACTCTTCCACCCCCTCTAACAGGAGTGCGGCATTCCACGTCGATTCCTGCCTTACCCAATCAGCACGTCCGACGGATGAGTGCCGGAGGTTGGTTGACAATCTTTCTCTTTGGTTTTTTTGGTTCCCAGTCTCTCATGTTGTCACTGATTCATTCTTCCATTCTTTGTAGAAAGCACAAAACATGTCATGTTTGCCACATTTTACTTGTTTGTGGAGAACTGTGCAGGGAATTCGTTCTCTCAGTTTTCACAGTAATGGCGTAATGTGCACATTCCACTGCAAACTGGTCAGACTAGTTTACAAATGTTTTTTTGAACAACTTCCCATCTTTCAGATCATTGAACAACCATATTTCAGAGCTTTTTTGGTCAGGTTCTTGGCTGCAAAATCACCAGGGATAGCCATTTTATCTTAGTCTTGTAACCTGTTTCCCTCAGTTCACAAAAGTGTCTTTTGGAATGTAGTTTGCTCAGAAAGTCAGTAAGAGATTTGAATAGCAAACCCTTGTTTGTTGACTTTCTTCTGATTCAGACCACATTTAAGCATCTAATTTTCTTCAAATTGTCTTTTAAAAAAAAGGACAGGGCATTAAAAACACTGTAGACAGCAAGCCATTTCACTGCCTTAGAATCAAGATATCCTAGTTATTTTTATAGCTCATCTAGAGGCAGAAACATGAAAATCCTTCATTTCAGCACCAGTGACTGGTACACGTACAGTGTCACGGGCTGGCATACGAAGAGAGTTGAACACTCTAGAATGAACTCATTTGTAAAACTAAGGTTGTTCACCAGATTTACCAACTGATTACAGAGCACCTACATCTAGTTTCTTGTTCCGAACGTTCCACAGAGTTGACAATTCGATTTCTATAGAGCACGCAGAATTCTTTTGCTTTGTGCACGTGCCGCAGATCTTCACAAGCCGACTGTCTGGCATTTCAGCGGATGTTTGTTGAGAACCAGTCTCGGGTAGAGTTCACCTGTCTCACATACATGTGGCCCACATGGCACTTTTTGTCTGTCAGTGTAACTATGTTGACTGTCCACAGAATGTTTCTGCAAGGTGCAACAGAGCTCACTCGTTTGCATATGAACTGCACAACTACTTCTTGAGTGTATTTTATGTTTTGTTGATTGCATAAAGTGATGTAGGTCTTTCTTTTCATCTCATTTTCTTATTTCCTTCCACTGCTGTTACAATCTATATCTCTTGGTGTCATTTTTTTTACACTGTTGAAACATTTGTTATCGTATTCAGTTTGCCATTGTTTGATTATGGTGTAAAGTTGTCGTAATAAAAAGTAATGCTCAACTTCTCTGTTTTTTTACTTTTTTCTCTTACAGGTGGGACAAATGTAGAAAATAAGCTTGTTGTATTCAATAAAAACCTTTTCTTTTCTTATAGGAAGACCGTTCGAAATAGCAAGTACCGGCAAGCAACCAACCCCTGCATAAGATTAATTTTTACTGTTCGTACATGCATGAATAAATAATGACCTATTCATGAATAACGAATGATTGAACATGAATGATGTATGACATGGTAGTAGTTAGGCTGATGCAGCATTGTTTTTTTCCTCAGCTGGTCCATCGTTGTGCATGTATGGTACACCTTGGTCATGAATAATGTATGACCTGGTCGTGAATAATGCAGGTTTGTCGGAGATTTCGTCGGGGTCCACTAGGTCAATCAGTGAAGTCAGCCGGTCGGATCGGGGCAGCTCGAAATCCGACCGCAGCAGCACGCGCTCCGACCGCAGCAGCTTGCGGGCCAATCGTCTGTCCTGGATGGGCATGTCAGGTTGGTCGTCGTCATTGGTCGACTTTGCCTCACCAACCTAAACAGCCCATGCCGCCTAATCTCATTTTGTTTTTGCATAACAACAAACTCCATTCTCTGTAGCTCAAGATATGTTGATTAAACTTCTAGCATATTAATTTGCATTGACTTGATCGTATTACTTTTGCAATTGAAACAAAAGAGTATGACAGTCCAAATGATTATTGAAGTAGGGTAACAGTATGTGACTTACTCCCAATAGTGATAGAAGGATCACATGATGAATATTCAGTTTTTATTTTGAATAAATCACTGTTTCCCAAAACAGGCATTTGATTGCACTGTTAATGCTTGTGCTAGCACTTACAATAAGAGTAAACAAACATTAACTCAAGCCCTACTGATTGTAAAAATGTTTTTCTTAAACCTAATTTTTTTGGAGATATGAACACTGCTATTCTCAGTTTCAACTGAGCAGTAACACTCTTGCTTCAGACTTGACTCTGATGTCAAATGTGTCGAATGGCGTTATCTTATACGAGTGAGGTATTTGAGATATTGGTATATTTTAGAGAAAGTACTGAATAATTCATGAGTAAAGACTGGATAGGCTGTATATCATAACCAGTGTAATCTCGTCAATGACAGATTTGTAGGTTCCTCAGTTATCCTGGCTTCCCTTTCTGTAGATGATTCTCCCCTTATTTCTTGCAAGTTCTTCCTTGGCTTTTCCCGGTTTCTCCCACCTTCCAAACCTAATTCCACAGTAATTGCCAAGATTCCTCAGCAATCTCAGACCCAAATGTTGTAATTTTCGGTTTCTTGGTGGCCAAGTTTGTTGATGTTTAGATTGATTATCATTTGTTCCGTGGAGGTTTGTTCAAACGAACGCACCTGTCACGGTGAATTTTCCTCCGGCCCACCCAGACCTTCTTCCGTTGCATGCAGTTTATGTCTCCCCATTTCCACTAATTTGCTCCCCCCTTCTCACTGCCAAGCGAAGGCATGTGACATGATGCGAATGATTTCTCAATCCCATCGTTGACTCGGATTGATTTCTTCAATTTTTAGCTGTCCATGGTTGCTCCGCCCAGCGTGTGCATGGCTCCGCCCACCATCTGCATGACAATAAACTCTGATTTGTTTTTACAGGCTGGTAATATTAACTCATTCTGCCATTTTGGTTTTGATTTTTTTTATTTTTTTTTTTATAAATTTGGGGGGTGTTATGTGTGCTGGGTCCATGGGTATTTTGAGGGCTTAGATATTGCAAACTAGTCAGGAATTTGTGGATTTATTTTTCTGCATGTTTCTTCATTGAAATACACACATGCGTATGTAAACACGGTTAGTCTTGTCTGATCTATTTCGTTAACTCTCCTGTTGGACCCAGCCTTACTTGGGTGTACATGTGTGAGGTCATGGTGCTTATTCAGGCTAAGCACCGTCGATATATGGATATTATCGATATGGGTTTGATATCGATATCGCCAATGTTAGTTATTTTGTGATATCACTATCAATATTGGATTTTGGAGAAATATCGAAAATAGTGAAACTTCGAAAACATCGATCTTGAAAAATGTGTTGAAAATATCGCTACTGTGGAACGAGCTTTATTAGAATATACGAAAGTGCATCGTCACATTACCATAATTTTCGATAAGCCGCGGCTTAAGTTGGTTCTCACACTGAGTGACAAATGACCCTGTAGCTTATACATGTACATTTGAAGAATAAATTCAGTCACCTATTTCAGTCTTGCACTCAATAATTCGCTTACACTGCCTCGAAAATATCACAAATTTATCCTCCAAAACAGAATTATTTGCTAACCAAAACGTACATAGACTAGCACCACGTGCTGATGATATCGCTATGCACGGCAGCGTGTATCCCATCCCATGTAGGCAAGGTACGCAATATGGGTGCTGGAACATGTTGCCAAAGTGAATTGGATCACACCATTACAGTGTAGGGGTGTATCCTTAGAACAATTTACCAGCAATTCACACCTGTTGTAGAGTACTGAAGTGTGATGTCATTAAGAACCAGAAGATGTTGTACAGATGAATGGGGTACGTGCGCGCGTTGGTTCACGTGCAGGTACTGTTGCTAATGTCTTTTTAACACACGAGTGTGCATGTGATGTATTCACTTTGGCACTCTGTAATACCTTGAAAATTAAAGTGATTTAAATTGGACATATCGATGTAAAAAACGATAATTCAGGCCACTTGTAAGTTTTGACAAGTACCTTTAAAGTGGATGTCCAATGTCAATGAATCATATGGATTTCTAGCAGTTGAGATTAAAAGGATCTGTCATCTCTCCATTCCTAACTGCACGACCGAAATTCCCAGATGTCTTAAACGGTTTACATGGCTGTATATATATTTACATTTTCTTCAAAGCATGTACCGCATTGACTGATTGTTTCATTTGACCAGTTGATTTCTCCCAGTATCCTGTTTTTATTCCTCTTTACGTTCTGTTCTTTTCGTTTTCTTTTTTTTTTGTTCACCCCCTTTGCATGCCTCTCACCCGTCCTTCAATTTTCTGTTTCTAGACACTCTCCGCAGCCTTCATCTAACCTTACCTGGCCTCTCCTCCTCCCAAACCCACTTGTCCCCGGTCTCCTCCTCACCGGGGGACGCGAGCCCGCGCCGTTTCCGCAAGCAGAACCCCCTGAGCCAGGTCGGGAAGGGGGACCACGGCTCGCCCGCCACCTCTCTGGAAGGTTTGTTTCTCCCGAAATTTCCCTCCGCAGTAAATCAAATGTAACCTGCAGTATCACCCGGGGGCCCAGGTTATTTGGAGACTTACACCCGGCTACCGTATTGTAACAAATTAACGAGGTGCACCTGTAGGAGGGACTCGGCTTTCACTGAAATCATCTTCACTGACAAAATTTTAATCCCATTACTGGCTGTGCTGTCTGTATGACCCTTTGCAATGTATTAACACTGATACGTCCGCTGCTTAGATGTCTGTTGGCACATGGAGGCTTTTGAAAGGCTCACTTTATGACGGGAACTTGGAAGGTTCTTGCGCTATCCATTATTCCATGTTAGATAACAATCCCCCCCCCCTAATATTCCTGAGTCTTTCAAGTTATTTTCACTGGAATGGTTTAGTTATTTGTACCCTACTGGGAACTTCCCTTTCAACTTTTGTGAAGCGATTTTTTTTTATAAAGAGAGGCAAAGTTTGCTCTGTTATTTCACCTGGATCATCTCTCGTATCGGTGGTTTGTGTAATCCACGCTGTGATTATTTTCAATTTCAGCCGCATTTTTTGCTGTCTTAACCGTTCATGTCAACCATTTCTCGGTGGGTTCTTGTCTTTAAAAAACAGGTCAAACCGAAGACAAGATCAATTACCTAAAACGACGATATTTTTCACGAGTATCTTATTGTAAGACCAACGGTAGGTTGAAACAAATATTTTTGCCAGGAAGATTCAAACAGCACATAAATTTTATTTTGCTCCGAAAATAATCAAAGACAGATTTCTGGCTGAAGTTTTTTAGTGACAATATCAGAAATTGCACAAGGAGTACAGTTATTTTTGTCTTGGTTTTGCTGCTTTGGGGACATTTGCTCTTCTCTTACCTTTTCAAATGACCTCATCTGAGCTTCCAAATTTCATCTGCATTGCCACTGAAGACAGAAGTCATGAAATGGCGAAAGTTTTCCACCCCTTTTTTAACAAAAAATCAATTCAGTTTGGGAAAGTATCAAGCTAGGATGCCTCTTTTTTTAAAAATTAGCCTACTGGTAAGAAATATAAAATGCTTCATTGTGACTTACAATCACATTTTTTACGTATGTGCGTATTTGTGGGTGCTTGTGCAGCTGTTGGCAGACTGGATTGTTGTTTTAGCTATATAGGCTGTTGGGTTCCCTTCCATCTAGTTATTTAATCTCTTCAACTTTTTACATGGAGTCAACTTGCAACTGATGTTTTTGACACAGGCAAGTGGGGGAAGGACTACGAGTCCCAGGTGATGGCCTTCAACCGTCTCCTCGCCAATGTCAAAGGTTTGGTCTGAGACTGGTCCCATGTGGGGCTTTTCATCGGTGCCCATTGGCCTCCTCCATGCCTCTGTACCAAGTCCTGCTAGGTTACCGTTGTCAAGTACAAATTCCTGCTTCTGTTGATGTCTTGTACCATGGCAGTCTCGGTTTGATTCCAGCTAGGTTTATTCATGTTTCACTGGAAGCTTGGCATGCCATCAAAGGCGCCTGTGAATCACGGATTTCATGGTTCGAAGCCAACCCGTGCCGTTCGACCCATTACATGCTAGGTTCATGGTCCTACCTCCTGTTCATGACGTGCCACATAGTGTCAGTGATGTGACACCTGCTTTTGTCACCCTGAGCAACATCCAGCTTATGTTGTACCTCCATTCCGTCTCATTGATATCCTAGTTCGACTCCATCTCATGTGATGCCCTGATGGGGCTTATCAGCAAAGATTTGCCTTTTTTTTTTTTAGGAAAGGGCGTTGTTTGGAAGTCTGGATTTGCTCACTTCCCATAATCAAATGTCTTTTTTCTCAGGAAATCCATTGATGCAAGGTTGATATATTGATTACATGCTCTGTGTTTGCTTCATTAATCAACGTGGTTGGTTCCTTTGTCACTCATGAGTCACAACACTTTACCTATTTGCAAATAAATGGATCCAGTCTTAGGCCCGTTTTCTGTTGTGTATTTTGTCATGTTGAAATTAATGTGAAGATTTTTCTTGCATTTTGCCCAGCTCTTCACAAGTTGCTTCCGTACTGACATGTTGGAATACATTCTAGCCTGTTGTATATTTTAATTCACTCTGCCATTTTGTACCATCATTTCTTCGTATGCTGCCGGTAAAATGAAGCTTTTAACATCTTCCTGACAATTTCCTTTCTGTCCATTTGAAGCCATGATAATTCTTCACTAATTCATCCAGCATTTTCCAGTTGTTTGAAGCGCTTCATAACCATCACGGCACATTTTCGAGGATGCCAAGAATTGTCCGTTGATCACACCTACCCCCCCCCATTTTGATTCAGCAAACATCTCATGCTCACCTCTTTTTTTCCCATTTTCATGCTGCTCCACCCGCTGGATTTATCATCTTGCCACGCCCCTTCCCCACCCCCGTCCTCACCTTGGACCCATTCCCCGCCAACTAAACTGCTCTCCCCACCGAAGAAAAACCGGAGAATTTGGAGCGCAGCTCCTCCCCGCCAACCTCCTGCGTTTCACAGCCACCCACCCCCACCAGTTCGGGCCGCGACTCCCCAATCGTGGACGCGCTCAAAGCGCCCTCCACGCAGCGCTTTCGCAAGATCTCCCTGTCCAAACCACCCCCTTCCCCGACCATCTCTTCGGGGCGTGTCACCTTCACCACCACCATGTCCTCACCGACTCTTATGGTCACGCCCAGTCGAGGTTGGTTGGCTTGGTGTCATAAACCTGGACTCAAGTGAACTAATCTGGATACCTAGATTCTCCCGGACTGTTTTTGTGCTGTCAGACCACTGCAAACCCCACTTTCTGCAAGAGTTCAGCCAGCACTGGGTCCTATCTTTTTGATAACAACAGCCAATAAATCTGATAGCCCTAACCTCTAAGCATGTGCCAGTTATATGCACACTGAATCTTTCGGAATTGAACATGGTTACGGGTTACAGTTAACATGTATCTGTGATGGGCATTGATCTTTCAATTTGGTTGGAGAATAATGAAAGACAAAGAAAAAAAGAGAAAGAAACTGGGCTCACTGTGATAACCTTCTGGCTGCTCTTCCACTCTTGTGTCACTCTGAATGACCCTTAACCTTTAACCCTTAACCCTCTTTGTGAAACTCAGAAAATAATACCATTCTATTTGAATGTGTTAGGGTATAGCGGTGTTTCTGTCAGTCGTAGTATGTCCTCTTTGTACATTTTGCTAAGCTTTCCTGTTTTTGTAGCTATGAATATCTGTGTTTTCCTGCCATTTGTCCTTAAAAAAAAAAAAAAATTTTTCTTAAAAGATAAAAACCTGACATTTATCTCATTCCTTCATTGTCATTTCTAGTCATTCATTAAATTTTTTTTTCACCCCAGGTCAACTGGCCATCCTTGCGCTCATTTCTTAAATGTCAAAGCTGTCCTCTGTCGTAAATAATCAACCAAACCTGTCAAAATACACCTACTTGTTTTGTTATGAAGCATGCTTTTTAACAGTGATGGAGAGTTTATGTCTGCATTTCTTCTGTAGCATGAAATGTCCAGATTCAGATATTTTACCATTGTAAGAAGAACTTGCTACTGTTCCTTTAATATTTGTTGCTTGACAATTTCTCTCGTTATTAAAAGCTGGTGTTTAGAGAAAGCTGGTGTTTAGATATAAGCTTGAAATGCATGGCAAGGAAATATCAGGTATTTAACAGTATTTGAATGGGTGTGTCATTTGTCTTATGGTATGTGTATATAACTCTCTGTGTTGTATGCTGACCCGTTCATGACTAGTTCAACAGTTGTAAGAATCTGTGTAATGATGATGTTGACGTTCCACACAAAGCTTGACAGTTTGGCACAAACGACCCGGCGTTTCACCAGTGCATTTTATTGGTGGTACACCTGGGTTGTACGCAGAGCCGAGGGTCTGTGGATGCGATACGGGGGCTGCTAAGCACAGACAAATATTACTCAGCAAAGTCGGGCACCAGTTCAACATTCACACGACTGGTTCCCAGCTGATGATTACTTAGTATGTAAATTTCCTGAGCCAGTTTTTTTTGGCGGGGGGGCCGTTGTGAAATCGATGTCGCTCTCTACATCCTCCCCAACCTACCTCTTTCCCCTCCCTTCACTTCATCCACATCGTGTCATAGATACCATTAAATTGAGTAGAAAAAAAAATGTAAAAAGTGTCAACAATCAAAAGTGTACTTGGACTAGTAGCATGGAAAGTACATTCAGTATTCCAAGTTCCTTACCCATTCAAAACTTTTGGTTTGCTGTTTGTTTGCATGGACAAACTGTCGATTGCATTTTGGACAAATTGCATTTTTGGTTTTAATTTTTGTTTCATCTCATATTTTGTTTGCATTTTCATACCGATATGGTTTCTAGTTTTCCAAGTGCTAGTTTTGCGTGATTGACATGAAGCACTGCATTTTGTTGGATGTTTTAACCCAATCTAAGAATGGTCTGCTTTGCAGTATGCATCTCTGAGAAGCAACTGTTTCATTTATAAGCATGGTGATTATTTTGAAGTGAGTGCTCAATTTACGGTCTGGAATCAAATGGAAGCTACTGGGTAGTGTTGTAGTCGAGACCATCTCAAGACCAGTCACAAGTGACAGGGTGAACAATGACAAAGGAACGCTTTTGTTGCAGTTCATTTGAATAGCTTGTGACTTGAATTCAGACTGGAGGTCTTGTGAAGGTCTTAAGTGGTCTTGTGAAGGTCTTAAGTGGTCTTGTGAAGGTCTTAAGTGGTCTTGTGAAGGTCTTAAGTGGTCTCGACTACAACACTGCTACTGGGTAGTGGTGAGTGGTTTTGTCATTCAGATTTCCCAATGTAGAACACAGTAGAGTGAAAGTCGGAAAATGGCAGTTTTGGAATCAACCTAGAATGCCAAAAACTTGGATACGAGTCTTTCTGCATCCTGGCTCGGTTTTGTCGTGTTTCCTTTTGAAAAAAAAGTTCAATACACCACTTGCATCTACTTACTTTAGCTGGGTCTTTGCACTGTCCAACTCAGAAAATTTGGCTTTGGCTAGTCAAACCAGCACTTTAGTGGCAAAAATATACAGCCATAGCCAATAGGTGCGTGGTCAGACTAAGCCTTAATCTGGTGTGTTAACAGGCCAAGGTGGCCAACTTGTTAAAGTAACGGGGTCAGTATAAGTAACAAATCTGCCATTTTTTTCTGAATTCAGTTTCTAGATTTTAAAGTAATATTTCCAATTCCACTGTTTCTCCTTGTTTGACTTTCCCTTTGTAGTTGCTCTTGAACAAATATATGTGTCGTAGTACTGTACATCAAAGTGAGCATGTATGTAAATCAGCCATTGCATCATTGTCATGTGACCATTGCACCCGCTTTTTTCTCATCTTCACTCCCATTCCCCTCCTTCCCTCCTCCCTCATCCCCACCCCCGAATCAGGTACACCCTTGATATCCACCCCTCGTCCCCTGGAGCAAGTCGAGCGGACGGGCTCCAGTGGCTCGCTTAGCAGTAGTGGTAGCGGCTTTCCGTTTGCGTCCGCGGCCAATGGCGGAGGGCCGGGGAGCGCCCCCTCATCCGCCCACACCTCTGTGCTTTCAGACTCTTCGGAGAGGAGCGAGTCGCAGTCCACCCTCATGGGGGGCACCGCCGCGCCGGGCGCCGGGAAGGGGCACCAGCGGAGTAAGTCTACCATCATGTACGACAAGCTGATGGAGCACGAGATCAAGGACCTGCTAGTGTGCTTGCTGTTCATCGTCAAGAACGTCAACGAAGGTATGCCCGACCTCTGGCAAAATTGTCAATTCCAGGAGGGGTACAAGAAGTGTACATGTACTTGGTCATTTGATGTCAAGCAAACTGGCCGGGGACAAACATGGATCTGAGAAGCTATATTTAGCTCAGAACAAGCTTAACAATTTTCACCCTGTTACGGTAATTTTTTTTCCCAGAGGTGCTTCTGGGCTGGTGGAGTAAGGCAGGTGAAGACGACCACATCAAACTCTTTGATGTCTTAGAGTGAGTGCCTTATCAGTTTCTCATATCTGTCTTGTCTTCTGTGACACTACTGTACATGAAGTTGAGTCGGTCACAATGTTTTGACGAGCCATCCGGTCTCAATTTGAATCACAAGCTATTCAAATGAACTGTAGCAGACAGCGGCGGCGGAATGACTTTCAAAGTGGGGGCCCAGTTGTTAAACCATCAGGCATCAGTCATTAATAGGTTGATCCATTAAGCCCCACCCAATTATAGGAAAAAATGGGGGCCAGGCCCCTCTGCCCCCCCCGCTTCCGCCACCCGTGGAAGCAGGAGCATTCCATCGCCACTGTCTATCCTGTATGTCACTTGTGACTTGTCTTATGACAGGACTCATGACAGGATTTGTGATGGAATTAGCTCTAGCTTTGCTTATTTCTCAGTGGCCAATGTTAATGAAGCTGTCGCTTTGATTTGTCATTTTTGTGTTTTTTTTCTCCCCTTCAGAATGTGTTTGTATCAGTTCCAGTACAAGGGCAAGAAGCACATCATAGCGGCAAGGTAGGTGTTGGTGGCGAGGTTTTCTTTCTGATTTAAGCACTGTAGGTTTTCCAGAACTAAGGCTCCCAGTTCCAGCTTCATGATTTCAGGGCCGTCCTCCCCCCCGCGAAGAGCCTGCAGTGTAGCGAGGTCAGGTTGTGGTGTATTTCCGTTTGGCTTGAACGGTAAAGTTCAACAGTGAGCAATGAAGTTGAGGCCGAAGTTGGAGACAAAGCCGTCACCTGAGAAATGAACTGAGACTCGATTATCTCTCACAGTTTGACCGCAACACTTGGCAGTAGAAGGAAAGAGCCTGACATGAACTGACATAGTAATCAGCGATGGCATAAACTGTACACTTTGCTGATAGTAAATGTAGAATAGCACCTTACATGAGGCTGAATAGACAGTACTCGCGGCGTCCCCAATTGCAGTCGTATTCCTGAACGCACAGTATCAATTTTAAAACCGTAATGGGATGGTACCAGGTGATTTTGGGGGTCGGAATGAAATCGTAGAATATAGTCTGGTCCTTCGAACTGAATGTTTTCCAATAACTACACTACGTTGGGGAATATGACTGAAATTGGGGATGCCATGTATACGGTCTGTTGTAATTGTCTCCGGAGTGGTGCCCCAACGCATGTCAGGGCCTTCCTGGTGCATGAAGCTGCAGACTATAGTCTCCTGACCTATCAGAAAAAAGCATGTTCCTGTGAGCTTGCTGCATTGCAGGGCCCCCATTTATCTCTAGACTCGTCTATTTTTACCCGAGATCCGGGCGCAAGCTCCTCGTCTCTCTATCTAGTCTGATTTTGTTCAGTGGTCATTTTTCTCGTGCGTTGTGAACGAACAAATGTGAACCATTCATCCATTGTTTAAGAGGCATGTGTCGTGTTTGTTGTCGCCGTTTAATACTTGTGCTTTGCATGGTGTGTTGAGAATTCATCATTTGAAGTTTGCCCTCACTGTTAGATGTTTCTATCCTCCAGTATAAAGATTTGGTTAAGGTCATTTCCATTGTGTTACCTGTGATTTTGTTCCTGTGTTTATGTTCAGTCTTACTGTCCTCATTGCGTTTGATTTTCATTCGTGATTTCTGTTCTTGTTTACCAGCTTTGTGTAGCTTTGTGTTTGTTAACAGTATGAAACTCTATTCTAATCATCTCGCTTTTTTTTTTCATACTTTTTTGTATTTCTTCGTCGTCCAATCAATGACCAATTCTGTGACTTGATGGTAAGCCAACGATTCTGATCTGAGCTTGAATGTGTGCATCCGGTCTGCATTACCCTCGCTCTCAAAGCCCTCGCTCTCAAAGCCCTCGCATGCCTCTTGCATCAGTGTGTTCTAACCAGTTCCAGGAATGTGCATTCCCTGAAAGAAACTTACTCTTCCCAAGTAACATAAGTTGCGTGCATCTTCAATCTAACTCGTTTGAGGTATTCAGTGCACGATGTAGGCGTCGAATTTAAATCCACTATCACTTGTGCATCTAAAGGGACAATCGATCAGAAAATAAGCACTCTTGATTCATGTATTAGTGTTTCCATGGGGCTCGGCAATCTTCCGAACTGTCGAACCATGCTGGGATTGCTGTTGACGAGGGTATTCGATTTTGTTGGGCATTAAATTTCATGCACTTGTTTAGTGACGGGAAAGTCCTTCACTTTAAAGCATGCTATTTGGCCCGAATCCAACTGAAAGGCACAATTACTGTCTTAGTAGATCTTTAAAATCTTGGGCAGACTTGGTTTCAGATGTATTTTTTTTCTCGGTTTCTGTTAATGGTTGAAGTTAGCTCAGTTACACGTTCACGGGAATGCTTAATGCGATGTGTTAACATATTAGACTTGCATGTTTGACTGTCTTCATGTACTAACCTGATCAACTCCTCCATCGTGAGTGTGTAATGTGGCCCCTGACGGAGGTCTGTCCTTGGTGCTGTTCCTGTCGTGTGTGAAGAACAGATTTCCTGAATAATATGGTCGTTTGTTGACTTTCTTCCAAGTGGGTGTTTGAGCTCAAATACTTCCCGAAACGCTTCAAGAAATCTGGCCTTTCTGTCGAGAATCTTTCAGCTGGTGTTGCTCTCTGTATTGGAGACAGTGTCTCCATAGGTGGTGTTGTCGCCTTTGTGCAGATAGTAAGCAAAATTGCAAGAACTGTCAGCTAGGTACCAGAAGCAAATCTGGTGCACAAATCTCTTCAAAATAGCCACACAATAGTTTATACGGCTTCCATTTGAACCTCTTTTGCACTGTGCTAAAAATAACAACCAATGAAATGTGCTCAGACCAACAGGAAAAAATAGAGATATTAAATGAAATATAGACAAAAACCTGCCAGAGGTAATTGATTGGACATGATTCCTGATAATGAAAGTGTCTGATCGGACAAGGTGACCACAGATGAATCTTGCTTCCCATCTGAAGTGGACTTGTTCATTATTTTGAACTTATATCTTGAGCATGTTAAATGTGCATGTAGTATGACTATTAAACAAAGGTACACGTCAGGCCATCTTTACAATATTTCCCAGCAGTAAGCACAGTTTGCTGCTAAGCAGAGTAGCCAACTGTTTGTCAGTACATCTATCTCAAGGACATTTGAGAATTGTATTACTGTGGGATTGGCTTGTTTGTCTGGCTAAGCGTGCATCGCCTCTGTTACAGCTTAGCAGTGATAGACAAAGGAGATTTGCTTAGCCTCTTGAATTTGCCTTTGCCTGTAGTAATGTTTATAAAGCTGATGTCATTCTGTTGGTGGCCAGGGAAGTCATGTTTGAGTTTCGGTATCCCTGTTATATCTGGCAAAATTTGGTTTATAGCCTTCTTGAGAAGGTGTTGGATGTTTTATTGCGGCTTTTTTTTTCAATTTGTCTGCCAATTGGCCACTTGTGGCCAGCAAGCGTAGAGCATTCTCAAGAACTTGCAGTTGCCGGTCATGTAAACCTTGTTTATAGGTTTACTACCGGTCGGCTACAGCATCAGGTTTGACTTTGACAAGAGAAAAACTGAAACAAAAGCGATCCAGAATTCTGATCCTCTTTTCTGCATTTGTAAAAGATTGCGGGAAAAACCAACCAGCCACGTGGAGGAAAAGAGCAAGACGCTACCAGCCGCCAGAGCCAGAGCAGTGCAGACGAGATCACTGCATGGAGAGCTGCCAGTAGGTTAGTACAAAGCCCATGCTTACAGCTTGCTTTGTGGGACGCGACTTGAAACGTCACTCAATCTCATTTTTGTGAAGGAGATACTGAGGCCAAGACCAGAGCTCTTTGTACGAGCATCTTGTGCTGAATCCTTCTGTTTCTAAATGTTTGAAAGATAAAGTTGGCTCGAGTGCTGTTTTTGGCATTTGTGAAAACTTTATGCTTGATATTGAGAACTGTTTTGCCATCAATTTTAGCTGTGTGGCTAAGGAAACAGACGGGATGTTGAGGGCATTTTTAAACCTCTTGCTTTTATGTGCAGTTACTGCGATGGCAGAGGCTGAGGGTGGACCCAGGGTGCTTCAAGAGGCCAATCTAGGTGCTGAGGTGGGGTTGATTGTTCTGGATGTCCTGGGCACGTACTGCACACACTTCAAGGTAAGAGCAGCTGTGGATTGCCATAGAGTCTGGGCTGATTCGGTGGCAGCAGCGGGATAAATTGTCATGAGCATCTTTCAGAACTATGACAAAGTGATCAGAGCTCATCTTATGCTTGTCTTCTGAGCGTATTAACCTGTGAAAATGCTTCTCTCCATAATCAGGATGTACCAATCAGTAAAAACCCATCAATACTTTTTGTCTCTCTAGCCCAACCTGGACATGGATGATGGCGATAACCCTTTGATGCGGAAGGTCATGGACATCTTCCTGTCCTTCATCAAGATTGGTCAATCGGAGACCCTGTCTAGGCATGTCTTTGCTTCCCTCCGCTCCCTCGTTCACAAGGTAAAGAGCTTCAAGAGCTTCGGAATCCCTGATGCGCTGGGCGAAACTATTTATAAAAAGAATTATTTGATATTTTTAGTTGCTAATCATGTTTTTTTTTTTCCTTCAGTTCCCGGTTGCCCTCTTCAAGGGAAGTGCCCAGCTGTGTGGAGACCTCTGTCTTTCAGTGAGTATCAAATTTGAGTCTTAGCTCTGTGATTGTAATCTTCTCAATGATTTCGCCAGTACCCTCTATGTGGAGTCTAGCGCAAGTGGAAATGAATGAGATTTGTCCACTTTTCCACTTGTGGCTCTTTCCATGACAGTATTAAATCTGAGAGTGATATATCAAACTGAGGAGCTGAGTATGCTCCTAATGCATATGAAAAACTAGTGAGTAAAGCAACCCCTTAGACTCATTTTGTGGTATCAACAACCTGACGTCTTGCATTGATGGAAGTTCGTTTGTAAATGTATTTTTTTTTACAGACTCTGAAGTGTCTCAACTCCAAGCTTCCATCCCTGCGGAGTGAGGCCTGTGCTCTGCTCTACCTGATCATGAAAGAGAACTATGAATTCACCACCCGGAAGGATTTTGTCAGAGTTCATCTACAGGTGGGTGTAGGTCAAAGGTCAGGGGTTAGGATGGGGCTTAAAATTCTATCAGATTGATTTGATTTCTTTGTGTACCAGTTCTATTTCAAGTTAGGCTCCGAAGTTTTTGCTTTTGATCTGAAAAATTTCAAACTTGGAAAATTATAAAGTATCAGTTCTTATCTTGACTTCAGCTTCATTTTTTGCGTCATATTTCTTTCTTTGATAGTACTATATAATGCTTTTCATGAGTCGGTCTTTCTCCTGATCTTTAAACTCCACAGGTTGTAATTTCTGTCTCTAAGCTGATCGGCGACGCCAACAGCGTACGGTTCCAGGAGTCGCTAGCCATGATCAACAACTATGCAGTCAGCGACAAGTCCATGTCTGTAAGTCAATCTTCTCATCTCATTTCACCAGAAAGACTTCGTGCTGAAAACCAAATCTAGAAGCCCAGTTAACCCTGTACAGGAGCAGTAGAGGGCACTGTTTGCAAGACCTAACTTCATCTGAATGTGCACAAAATTTCTTCAAATGAGAGGAATGCACCCACGTCTGGGTCAAGCCTGAAAGTTAAGGTGGCTGGAAATAATGTACATATGTGTGAAAGTCCACATTTTCTGTCATCTCCATAAATAGATTTTGAACTAAATTTTCGTCCGAATTGCTTACTTCAGATGACCCAGTTTCCGTCCCACGTCAAAGACCTGACCAAAAAGATACGTACAGTGCTGATGGCCACAGCCCAAATGAAGGAGCATGAGAAGGACCCTGAGATGCTGGTGGACCTTCAGGACTCACTGGCCAAGAGCTATGCCAGCACGCCAGAGCTGCGCCGTACCTGGTTGGAGAGCATGGCCGTCATCCACATCAATCATGGCAACTACTCCGAGGTATTAAGCAAATCTGCTTGGCAAATTTAGATGCTGAGCAAAACTCAGCAGAGAAGCAGTCACAGGCAATAAACATTTTACAACAGTCCGGCTGGTAATCTGTTAAAGCTCAGCAGAAATTTTTTTAGGCTGAGCAAGTATCCATGTTTTTGCAACTTGAGCCTATGGGTCTGCTGGCTAGTGGCTACGACCGCTTCTTACAGACTTGTGTGTAGATCGCAGCCACAGCCGGTTGATTTGGACTCAGTCTGAGACTCAAACTCGATGGAGCTGCTTAGTAGAATTTATAGCTAAGACAATTTATGTCAGCAAATATCAGCTGAGGCTGTGTATTACCTGGATGTTAAGCCGTGTATTCATGCAGAATTTTTCGCTCAGTGGCTCCAAGAAACTGGGCCCAGGACTTGCATTTTTCTTCACGTTTGATTGAATTTGTAAAATGGAGTGTAATGAAGTGCCTGTCATGATAGATAGATTTGGAAGTCTTAGACTGCATCCGAATCTGTTGTCTGAAGCTAGTTCTTGGTCTTCATTCCATTGGAATTATGTGGAGATGCACGGACAAAAGACCTAGCCGTAGCTCGTTAGGTCCTTTTCAGGCCCCGCCTGTGCCGAGGAGATTCTGTCTTGAGTGGCAATGTCTTGAATCCTTACCCAGGCGGCTCACTGTAACATCCACATAGCAGCGTTGATCGCCGAGTACCTGAAGAGGAAAGGGATCTACCCGGCCGGCTGCCAGGCCTTCCGAGACATCTCCCCTAACATCGAGAACGAAGAGAGGGGAATGAAGGAAGACATTGGACTGGAAGATGTACAGTACTCTGAGGTATGAGATCCTTGTCTCGTAATGCTTACCTCGCCCAGTCATTTTCTCACATCCGGCCCAATCCACAGTTATCCGCTTACAAAATGTGACCCACCATCCCAAAACCAGGCTGAAGTCGGTATTTGTGATGCTGGACAATTCTGTCCTTCAGCCGGTTTTTTTACACTTCAAAGTGATCCATGTTAAATCCAAATTCTGTCTGCAGTGAGCTTCTTACGGGTAGTAATAGCTGTTCAACTCCCATGAAAATCTGAGCAGTGGAAGTTCCACTGTTTTAGGGTTATGAAGTTACCTACTTCAGCCTGGTTTGGGGATGGTGGGTCACAAATAATGTGCAAGACAGTGGTTAGTTTGGAGGTTTTTACAGGACTTCAATTTCTTCCAGGCTTTAGGAACATTTTGCAGTCCTTTAATCCATTTTTGACTACACTTTTTGGCAATGTTGTTTGGTGTTCCAATCCTTCTTGCCTGGATATGGGATGCCAGTATAATTGGCACCTTTTCCTTTAAACGTCCAATCCCATGCCTAGTCTGACATGCTCCGTAGCTTGAATCCGACACCACATATTTCCAGTCCCACACCCTACACATCCAATGCCGTCATTCCACACTGCTTCTCGGTCCGCAGGACCTTAGCAGATTGCTCTTGATTTTTATGCGGCGTCCTTCCTAACCTTACTTTTTCCTCCACCCAGCAAACGTTGCTTGAGCAGCTGGAACGATGTGCCGAGGCCCTGCAGAAAGCTGAACGCTACGAGTCCATGGGGGCGCTCTACAAACTGATCATTCCATTCTACGAGAAGCAAAGGGATTTCCATGTGAGTCCTCTCTTCCTTGAACTCCTTTCCTCGTGTGGCTTACATTCATGTCAGTAACTTCTGTGGCTTTTGATGGATCAGTTTCCCAGGTAACAGGTTTCCATGTTGTTCTGTGCAGCGCCTTGCTATGGCATATGGCAAGCTATGCGAAGCCTACAAGTCCGTCATGAAAGTCACCAGCTCTGGCCGGAGACTGCTGGGCCAGTATTTCCGAGTGGCCTTCTTCGGTCAGGTGAGTTGGAATGGTTCGAGTGTGTCATTAGACTGTGTAACATTGGCTGGGCAGATACATTTCCATGGCAAATTTTTATGCCTAGCAAAAGACCCACCATGAACCAGTTGTGTTTTATACTCGGTTTGGCCTTACATGGGCGTACATATTCACACTGAACTCTTAGCGTGGTCCAAGAGTTGCCAAAAAAATCATAAGCTTGCTCGAGTGGGATTTGAACCCACCACTTCCCACTTACTAGTGCAGGTGTTTTAACCACTTGACCACCGAGTTTGCCGGGATCGGGTGGTTGGTTTAAATCTAATGCAGCAGCAGCTACCCAAAATGGTCGGTGATGTTAATTTTGCAAGAAGTTTCATGGCATTTGCTAGTAGTCAGTAGTTGTGACTGTGTTATATTGCTTCCAAGCGTAGGCCCAAACACATCCAGTGATAATTCCCTTCGTCCTTCACTCTCTCCCCTGTGATAGCATTTTGAAGAGGATGACGGGAAGGAATTCATCTACAAGGAACCCAAGGTGACCACGCTGGCCTCCGTCTGCGAAAGACTCCTCAACCTGTACACCGAGAAGTTTGGCAAGGAGAATGTCAAGCTCATCAGGGATTCCTCCAAGGTCAGTCCGTCTGTATCAGATCGGACCGGGGCACACCCCAGCCTCAGAGGTGGAGAGAGGCAAATTTGTTTGGTTTAAATCAAAGTCGTATCAGCTCTTAATTTTGGCAAAGCAAGAGGTTCTGTCACTTGAAATTTGTGTACTTTTTGGGAATTAGCTGCACGGGTCACGCAGGGGTTCACAGGTCGCACAAGAAAACAAACGGATGTTCCAAAAACATTGCTTTGGAGGTTTATTAAGTGATTTGGGTTCCAAACACGAGAAAAAACTGGATGTTCAAAAACTCTGCCTTGAAGATTTATCAAGTCATTCAAGTCTCTATGTTGCAGGTGAATCCAGATGACTTGGACCCCAAGATCGCCTACATCCAGCTGACGTTTGTCAAGCCCTACTTTGATGACCACGATCTCCAGGAGAGACAGACGGCGTACGAGCGCAACAATAACATCCGACGCTTTGTCTACGAGACGCCGTACACTGAAGGGGGCAAGGCGCGGGGAGCCGTGGAGGAGCAGTGTAAACTCAAAACAATCGTGACAAGTAAGGGCACGAGTAGAGACTCGGCTGCGATTGGCACATGAGAGGGTGTGTTACCTTACTCGGTAACTCGGTGTTTGAGTGTGAACTGGCGTGGTTGCATATGTTGATCAAGGTTCAGTTATGTATGAAGTGTCAGAAGAACATTCCTAACTTATTCTTCACCCACTGTTAGTAGCGAAAGCACTTGTGACAATAGTTTCACAACCAGACTGATGAGTTTATAGTTGACGTTTCTCAGTACCTCTCCTCTATCAAGTTTCATTCTTCAAAGAGATCCAGCAAACTGCCGGAACCTTTAGTAGTTGGAAGCAATCAATTTTGTGGAGTTTGCATAGTGTGTGTGTGTATACTGACATCAGTTTCCAGATTATAGCTTCAATTCTTCAGTAATGTTTGGAATGGAAGACTTTGAGACACATGGGTGGTGACAGATAAACCGGTCCTTGTCCACGGTTGTGCAATTGCCTGGAACTGCATGTGCATGGCCATGTCACCCAAAAAAGGACCGTTGTGTCTGTTGTCTCCAAGCATCTCAAAGTCTCCCATTGTGGGTCACAAATACTTGTTTTAACAAGTGTTTGTTAAAGTACTTAAAGGTACATGAAGTACTTAAAAGTACTAGTGAAGCACTCGACCTCAACACCGCTGAGAATCGCTAGATTTGTCTTCTCTCTCTCCTCTGCGAATCCCTCCTTTCACCTCTTTGGTTTCTTGTCCTGCTTTGCCAGCCTCTCACGCCTTCCCCTACGTCAAGAAGCGCATCCAGGTGGTGTACCAGATGCACAAAAAGCTGAATCCCATCCAGGTTGCCATCGACGAGGTCAAGGCCAAGGTGCAGGAGTTCCACGACGCCTTGATGACGGACACCGTAGACATGAAACGGGTGCAGCTGCTGCTGCAGGGATCCGTCAGCACACAGGTCAGTCCACACGCTGCTGCTGTTTCATGTGTCTTACCATCGAAGGTGAGGTTTGTCGGTAGAGATTGAAGTGACCGTTGGTTGCTCCATGCTTCAGTAGTTCTCCAGTCATTGCAGCTCTCCAAGGTCAAATACAGTTGGTTTGAGATCATGAAATCGCTTGTTTTCTGGCTCAACTAACCTGAACCAGGATCAGGCATTTGAACATGAAATGAAAGTACCTTACCGTCAGCCTGTCTGTCCGATTCTCAGGTGAATGCCGGACCCCAGGCCTATGCCATAGCTTTTCTCGGCAAGGGCAAGGAGGAGAAATGGGAAGGCCAGGATGTGTGGGAACTCAAGAAACATTTCAGGTTAGTCACCCAAACCTGTTCGTATCTTTGGCCTAAAAAAAAGTGTGTCCATCCAAAATACAAGGAGTACCTGTGAGGGCCCAGTTGGTAAGTGTTGTCATTGTTGAATCTTCCCCATAAAGCTATTTTAAAAAAGTGGCCAGGATGTAATTTAACAAAGAGGCGCCAAACGTTGTGAAATCATTATTTTTTGTCAGTTGGGACTAGCTCTCTAGCTTCCTTTAGAATCCATCATATGAGCAGATTTTGCAGGATTGAGGAAGGCGGAGCTAACTATTACTTTACATGAGGCAAAATTTTTGAAAGTTTGAATATGGGGAATTTGCGATTGGCTACCCATGCATAGGAGAACTCAAAAACCAAAAACGGCTTGGAGGTTTGGGTGGATCGATCAGTCAGTTCAGGATATGATTCTCACTGTTGTGACAGGGAATTCATGGAGCTGTGTGGTCGGGCGTTGGAAACCAATGCCCGCTTGATCAAGGAGGACCAGCACGAGTACCACGAGGACCTGGTGCAGAAGTACCGGGCCATGAGCAACCTGCTGGCAGAGTTACTACAGGACCAGGTGGGTTGGGCTTATCGCCCCCCGGTGTCATCCGACATTGGGATCCCCCGTGAAATTTGGCCCCTGTCTCATATATGGATACCCAGTGCAGGTTTGTTTGCTGTAACGTGAAGTCATGCTCTGCGTATCCTTTTTCTCCAAGTCCAAATTTACACACTACTTTTATTACTAGCTCATCAAAATCTCCATCTGTCGGTTAAGTGGTTGTTTGTGTCACTTCCTGTCTGATTGATGTGTTAGCTCAGCAGGTTTTTCCCTTCATAACCTCAAAAATTAACATATGTTCAACTCCTTCAAAGCAGCGATAAAAAAGGTTGACCTCAAAAATTAAGCTTGACTTTGAAAATCACCCCTCTGAGTGTTGCATTAAAGCAGCGGAGGTCATTTGGTTGACCTTTGTGGTTTTATTTCCTCTCAGATCCGAGAGCAGGAGACGCCGGGTCGACGGGTGTCGGGGCATTTCTTCAACGCCATCAGCGGGCTATGAACCCCGGCCGGCCCACTCCTATGCACAGTGCTCTACCGTAGCCCCAGAGCTCTACGCAGCTACTCTACGCGGGGACTGCCAGCAATGAACTTTGACCTTGATTAATTTTCCGTCAGGCGACCAGTGTGGATTCATCCAGCGGGACCTATCAATTGTTTGTATTTGTGTGATAAATAAGTTGGTAATGTTATCAAAGATGTTAACGACGGCATATGCTTGGCTTACCCAGTGAGGTGTATAATCAAAGTGTTGCAAAAAATTAGCCTAAATTTCCATATGTTTATTTTTCATAATGCAAATATTTAAAAATGAAGAAAACCTTGCCTAATTTAAGAACCTAATGTTTGCTGTGGCTTCCTCGGTTTTTATCACAGATATGCATAAGTCACTGAATTAGTTTTAACTGTGTTGTAGTGTTTCCAGTGCTAATTTTGTGTATACACAGTAGAAGAAAGAGGAGTTTATTTATGAAACAAAGTGTGTTCTTGACTTGAACTGATGAACCTTGCATTAGAGGCCAGTGTTGATGACATCCTTGTTTCCATGGAAACCGATGGTTGTTTCCATGGAGACAGTTAGCAAGGCTTTTGAAATTTTGCTACTATTGCAAAGTGTTTGACATTGGATTCTGTCGCTTAATAAACTTTTCTGGAACCATTTTTGACCTTGAACGCTTATGCAAAACAAAGCGATGGATGTGGTGTAGTGAATTAACATAGGGCCAAAATATCGTAGTCAGTTCACCATCCCCTGTCTAGAGTAAACATAGTGTCCGATAATTACACGACTGCCAATATAAGCTGACTGAGCCTAGAAATCTTGAAATTTATCAACCCTGCCGCCGCGAAACACCCTCAAAGTCTCAAGTTAGAAATAATTTTCTTGTTGAGACATGATATTATCGGCCTGTGATTACAAATGTAACGTGCCAAATTGTGTAGTATAAACAATTACATTAGCCTTTTGCGTTGATATTTGCCACTCTGTGAATCTTATTCCAATCTTGGGCTGCTTGCCAAGACGACAGTCGCAGACGGGCGCACACACAAAATTGCCAAATGTTCTCATTTTCATCATCTTTTCTCTTTTGCTGACGCGCGAGATGTAAATTGTAAACCATTTTGCAAATGTTTATAAAAACATCCTTTTCATATCTCAACAACTTGTCAAGAAAGGCTTATGTACCATATTGGTAAAGGAGTGGAACATTTTTAGTTAGTGTAAATATTTGTTTTTATGATGTGTACCATTTTAAAGTAGATATTTGTAAAAGTGAAAGTTGCTGAAGAGAGATGATTGCACTTCTTGAGGAATTCAACAAAACTAGTTTTAAAAGCAGAAACATGTAGAAAATGCATTGAAACCCCCAAATACGAAAATCCCAGGCTTGAAATGATTCTATTCATAGGCATCTACTACTTAACACTTGTGATTATACGTACGTCCTTTTTTGTGAGCTTTGAAGGTAAAAATTCCATTCGGACGTTCAAATATGCAAATTGGAAATGGTGCAGAAAGCATGGGCTCAACCATTTTTAAAAGAGAAAAATTACCCTCTTTAGTGCATCCCCTTTTTGTGGTTTCTTGCACTTAAAAAAAATCAGTACGATGAAATCTGAAAGTGCGTTCTTACAGACAGTAAAATTTCCATACATTATTGCACAGATAAATGCCAAAGTGCAGAAGTTAAAAATATCCGTTATGAGTTCCCTCATGAGTGCTTCGTGTAAATCAGTGCGTAGTTCTCTGTATAGACCCATTTCTCTGTCAGCCTACAGAGAATATGATCCTTGTTATGAAAATGTCTTTCTTTTACCTGATTATTTTAAGCAGTGCATATATTGACTGCTTTGTGTGTTTCAGCTTTCCTTTGGTGTCAGAGTTTCCTGTCAGCAAGTCATCAATCTATTTGTTTAATCAGTTATTTAGTCTCATGTTGCCAGCCCTTCTGGTTTCCTTCCTTTATGGGGGATTTGGTGTATTTCTTCTCCACATTTCTTTTCCTAGTAACTTTTTCACAAGTTTTTTTAGGTCTCAGTAATAAGATTTGGCAGGTACACAAATCAAGTAGTGATTGTTATGGTTGAGCAGGAAAGTTGTAGAGTATCAGCTTGCATTTCATGCATGAGCAGTCCATCTCCACGTCACCCAAACAGTCTAAAACTTTTCTCATTTACCACCCCTCTCCAAAAAAAAATTGGAAACGTCTGAGAAAAATGACGCAGCTGACAAAACAATTCCACTTTTGGACCCTTATCCTGTCCAGACTTACAAGCAGGGATAAGCAGTGACATTTTAGAAGCTGTAACCAGTTGCCCGAGTGCTTACTTTTCCATTTTGTTGCGTGTCTTTCAACCTGAAACAGCTCCGTATGCGACTCACCGAAATGCTTGAAAGTTTGCACCCAAGTGTGAGTTAGCTCTGTAGTTATTGAATGCAGCTCTGTGATGTAAAAAACAGCAAGTCTGGGTTGTCCATGTACATGACAAGAGTGTTGCTCTCAATTGGAAAGCTTGTGAAGATTTGACAAGGAATCCTGAGGAAAGGGAAATGAGCAAAATTGTTTTGGGAGTTTGACTGCATTAGACCAAGAGTTCTAGACCTAATCATTTTGAGGAATGTGCTCTGCTACTTGTACTTGTCTATAGATCAAAACATAACTTTTCTTTGGGGGGGTGGGTGCAAATGGATTGCAATTCCGTAAGCTTCAGTAGAAAACAGTTTGCAGTTGTCCGCAACTTATGAAGTGTCAAATATGTTTGTTGGTTTTGCAGCAAATGCTCAACTTTTTTTAGTTTAAAATTAATCCATCACCAACCATTCACCTGTTGCTTTTCAGTGAGAAATTATTTAACTGATTAAAGAAATTTTATTTTGTATATTTTTCCTTGAATTAATCCGTAATAAACGTATCTTATTTCAGCCTTGTTTTTTAAACTGTCCTTTAATGAATATTCATTTATATTCAAATTGTTAGATTGAAGAGGTCATAGGGTATTGTGGGGAAAGTTTTATTGCGAAATATCAGTCTTAGGTTTAAGTATAACATCCAAGAATATTTCCAGCAAGAACTGGTGGCCTAGTGGTCTAGGATGCTGGGGCTGGAATCCTAGATCCTGGGTTCCAGCCCCGGTGGTGCCGGCGGGGAAATGCTTTTTACCTTCATTTGCTTTTAATTTAGGAAAAAGAGAAAAAATAGTAGCCCAGAGTAGGATTTGAACCTGGGACCACTTGATTGGGAATCCTACACCCAACCCTCTGAGCCGTGGCTCTTTCTTGTAAAAATGTTCTCGGATGTTATATTTAAACCTTAGGATTGCGTAATGCCATGTAGAAAGAGATTTGGAGTCTGGAAGGGTAGATGGCTTGGAGTTTGGAGGGCTGAGCCACCTCCCAAGACCAAGCCCTCTCTTCTCTGGAGATTTTAAAGAGTTGCAAGGGGGCCCCTTTGGTTCAGGCTAGGCTGTGGGCTAGCCTCAGCCACAGATGAGGGAAGCGGATGGTTTTGTCCAAGGCATTTGTTGGTAGATTGAAGGTGTCGGCCACTTTATATTCACATACATGTACGCATGGAAACTAGCTGTTTGTCTTTCTTTGCAAGCAATATAATTGATAGGCTTTCAATTATAAAGGTTTTTATCGTGCTCTAAAAGTTGTAAACTATAAGGTAAATTTAAGGAAGGTTTTGTGTCTTTTGGCAGGTTTTTTAAAAAAAGTACGCAAGCTAACAAGACCGACTAGAAGATAACGGCATACACAAAGCACTTGAATTTGCTGTCTATTTGCTCTTTATTGGGAAAAAGCATAGAAATACTTGGCATCCATGGCTTTCAATAATACTTGTTCTTCAGACTTTTTGATTATGAAAAGCTCGTAAAGGTTGCTTTATAAAAAGTAGATTTTTAGGTAAAGGTTTTATACAAATACCATGTAATTGGATGTACAGGGAAAGTGTGTTGCGTTGCCATGAACGAATGATTACAGATGTATATTAGTAAAATGTACAAATTACGACCAAGTATTTATGATCTCGTAAGACAATTGTTAATGCAGGTTCACATACTTATTTTACAGGGAAATTTTTGAAAGAAAAATTGTATTCCCTGTGAGTCAAGGTACCAGACTGTTCTACTATTTGACCATAACTTCATTCGCCACAATAATTGTACAGTTTCTAAGTTCCGCGTGAGTTTACCGACTCAAAATAGTATGGTACCCATAATGCCATGGTGAGCTTCATACAGGCTCTGTCTGAATAGATCTTGTGTCTGGAGCAGAGTCTGGGTCTTTGCCAGTTGCAAATACGGGAATACAAGCCGACAGTGGATGAAGCAGTGGCTCTAAAAGTCCATTTCAGACAGAGCCCAACAATCTTTTTGTGAACGGTGTGACGGATGACCGCCAAACTTTTACCATGATAGAGGCACTTGTTTCTGTATGCTGACTGTACAGCACCTGAGCTTATTGCCGGGTACCGGGCAGTGAAGCCACCGTGCCCAACTTTCTGGTTTTCTGGTAAAACCTGCGATAATGCCCAACATAAAACTCACTGCTCACAGGGTAGCATGCATCAGGTACAAAGGAAATCTGGCATGCGGATTCACATGTTCTTAGGTGACTCTAAGGGTCTGTTTGTTTCACACGGATCTAGATCATGACCAGTGGTCCCAATGCTGATTTGCACCATCCATTGGGTGACTTTTGGTGTCTGTAAACCAGCGATGGATAACTGATTGTGAGCCAAATGCGTGTGAAACACAAACACGGCCTGAGATAGCACCTTACGTTGGTTCGCCCATTCTCTCAGCATGCTGGCCAGTCAGTGTTACAGAGATCAGTGTTCGGAGTGACCAATCAGTGTCAAAGGCAGTCTTACTGACCCCGTACACAACTTTGTCAAATAAATTTCGGCAACTCACAAAACAAATGGTGAAGCTTGGAAGTAAACGATGAAATACTTAATCAGTGACAAAAACATGGTACCCAGTAATTGTAATTCAGTGACCTGAGCAAAGGTTCGTACATACATGTAGGTAAATAAAGCAGTCTAAATTCAGGCTGTCTGTGTATGTAGGTAGATGTTTTCCTGAAATGCAGCCTTTCCGTGTGTGGCAAAAAAGCTTGCTAAGTGTGTACTGTTACACACTTAGCACCGAAAAGTTCTCAAGACCAAGTTCAAGCAAACTGTTTTCCTGCATTATCACAAATTTCCGAGTTGATCCCAGAAGCAAGCCTTCAATGCTGACTCTGTTCACACTATCAGTCTGGGGTTTGACTCCCCCATGGGGCTCATAAATCAAATGAAAGTCAATACCAGTTTAGACCAGGGTTGAAAATCTTGATCTGGATCAAGATTCATACATAGATGTGTAACCTGATTAACAGTAAAGCCAACCTGTTAAAACTTGGGTCTGCTTGAAAATGAGTTCCATTCAATCTAAGAGGGCTTTTCTTGGGAACCTCTTAAAATGATCTTGAACACCGTTCTACTGTAGTAGTTGTCTTAGATTTCAGAACAGGCAAGAAAGGTCATTACTGGCCATGCCCAACAGTTCCACTATATCAATACATACACAACTTTAAAGAGTTGTACATACATCTAAGATTTACATAGATTGATGTGTCTCTAAATCACCCGCAAGGTACTACGGTAAATGTGTCAATCTTTGAAATGGTCGTACTGCAAGTGAATTCAAGGACTCAATCTTTTTTCATTGCATAATGCGATTTGTGATCATTTTACCCTTTTTCATTGTGTGTTTCAGGATCTTTTTGAGTAGGTGTGATTGAGACATTTACCATACTTTACACCTGTACAGTAACATTGAATAAACCTTTTAGAATGAAAAATATACTAGCTTGTACATGTACACAAATAAAAACTTTGTATTTTTAAAGTGAATAAAAGACCAGAGTAAATGTGTCCACTTCATCACAAATCAGTGAATCAAACTGAGGTGAATTGCATCCTAAAAAATGTGAGTATTAATTATTGATCATGTAACCTGTTAATAAAATGCTACCAATAAGCAATACTTTGAATGTAATCACCTGACTTTGTGTACTTCAGGCATTCCCAGCCCCTTCTCTACTATCCTAACTGCCCCCTTGTAGTGCTGGCCATGATCCTCTGCTAGCAACAGACTAGGAGCTAGTGTACTGTTCAATTTTTCAAGTACAGTTCAATGCGGTTGGGGATAGGGGTAGGGATGGGGGGTACGGATGGGGATATGGGGTGGGTTTGGGCTGCTGGGGTGTGGCATGTGAATTTGATCATGAAGAAACCCGTCAGAAAAACTGGGCGTCAATTAAATGAGATGGTCGGATAAAGTTGTGTCCTAACAATAATTTTCATAGAGTTGATTGCCTCGGCAATAATACTATTTTTATGGCACAGTCAAGACACACATTTAGTAGTTTTATCTCTCTTACCGAAACAAATTCATTACTAATTTAAATCAACTGAGGTTTTTTTATTTAAAAAGTCTTAACATACACATATATTTATATTAGGCATTGAGTCGGTTGAGTTTGCTATTGATCTGTTGAGCTCATAAATATTTCATACAAATATAAATTTGGGGACAAACTCTTAAATTTTTGTACAATTTACATTAATTCAAAACACACCAATGAACCAGGCAGATGAAATCCACCCCACACTTTAAAAAAAAAAAATCAAATGAAGACTTCAATACAAAAACAATTCAAACTCAACAGAAATTTCAAATCAACTGCATTTGTTTGCTGTCAAGAGAGTAATTACAAACACATTCCAGTGCACACAAATGATAAGCCTCTCTGTAGTCTTGCCAATCCCAAATGATTTTACCCGCAATGTTTTGTGTTTCCTTTACTTCCGGAGAACACAGGATTACCCCGTCACTGCATAATGGCCAGCAAGGGCAGTGAGTGCCAAAGTCAGGGAATATTTATTAAACTTAATGCATTCCCTTCTGTCCTGCCCCTGCCTTGGTTTATCAATTGTAAAACATCAGAGCATTGAGCTGCGCATCAGCTGTGCACGAGGGCGATGTGTACGGGGATTCCCACAGCACCATGTCAGGCTTTGTTAGATGGTTAACGCTGAATATGATTGCTTCCCTTGAACGGTGTACTTCAGACAGGCCACCTGACCCCAATATAGGAAAACGGCTGGTACTTGCTGTGCAAGGCTACCTCCATCATTGATCTAAACCAGTAAGATGACTCATCCAATTATTTTTTAATGGCCCTATTTTATTACCCGCATGTACAGCTGAGTCACGCATACAGAGGCTTTTGATGAAGAAAGACGTGTGTCATCAATCAGCCTACAACCAAAGAGATGTGCTCTTGTGGTATTCACAATTAGAAATTATAATTTGTTGGCATGACCGTATCATCAACGTGCTCTCTCGACATCATTCAGGCTCCTACAAAACCAATCTTTCCCTCAATGTTGAACTGACAATGAAAGACAAAGCTAAGTCAGTGTACTTTCCCTCTCAATCGAGACCACTGCTTTTATCTTTTACATTTGCAGTTACACTGGCTAACCACACTGCATCTCGTTACCTTTGGTACAAAGCATCACTCGTGACATTCACATGTACATGGTGTTGAGGTACAGACATATATTTACAGAAAAAAAATACAATTGTAAAAACACAAAAGATAACAATGTTATAAATTTTTTACTTGATTTATTGGAGAGGAAAAGATTTCAGTTTTGTGTATAGTATTGATCCAATTGAAGCCAAAAAAACACTCATTCAATTCATGCAAGGCAAGCAATATGCAACACTCAGTTTTCAACCCTAAGAAATCATAAAGTTTTTTCTGAATATTTAGCTATCAAATGTGTCAAATTTCATTGCACTTTTCGAAAAAATTAAGAATGTACACAGGAACAGGTGAGGATTGTCAAACAAATGCAGAGGCGTGACACTGGCAACTGGTGGCAAGGAGACCAATGACAACAGTGATGGTACATGTAAGTTGACAATGACACTGACAGTGATGAACACATGCGTGAACTCGGTGACAGTCACCGTGCAGTAGCATAGCCAACATTCTTCTTCAGCAGAGGCCTAGTCACAGACTTCATGTATGCGTCTGGTATTTGTTTGAAAGCCTTTACTTTATTTAGTGATGTTAAGCACGGAAGTATTAAACTTGAGATTTTTTTTTTGCCTTTTAAATTTTCTGTTACTACTACTCTCATTATCATTATTGCTTTTTGTGCAGGGGAGCATGGAGGCTGGAGATTTATCTTCCCCCACCTCTGCACCACCTTAAGGTTCTCTGCACCA